TGGCCACGCCAGACCAAAGCGGCCACATAGAGGGGAGGCTGCCCGCCGCTTTTGTTCTGGGTCCCTGCCCTGGTTTTTGCCTCCTTCCAGGGAGTCTCGCTGGGCAGGCAATGGTGTGTGACCCGGCCACCTGTCTGCACGGGATCATAACAGCCACTCCCCGTGCAGACACATGGCAGCGCATCGGGGAGGGGAGCTTCCGGAAGACCTTGAATTAGAACGGTTTCCTGTGTGTATTTCCTGGGAAGTTTGCATAGGGAAATGTTCGTACCCAAATCGGTGGGGTATCATTTCCAGTAAAGTAAACATCTGCTAAGGCTTTTGCATCCAGACGTTTTCCGTGCCCTAATTCTGTTGGGGCCCTGGCCTGATCTCATCAGACCTCAGGAACTAAGCTAAGTCGGCCTCGGTTAAGACTTTAGATGGGAGACCACCAAGGAAGCCCAGGGTTGCTCCGCAGAGGTAGACGGTGGCAAACCACCTCTGAACATCTCTTGCCTGGACCTGGATGGCCCAGGATGGCCTGATCTTGACAGAACTCAGAACCTAAGCAGGGTCAGCTCTGGTTAGTCTTTGGATGGGAGACCACCAAGGAAGCCCAGGGTTGCTACGCAGAGGTAGACGGTGGCAAACCACCTCTGAACATCTCTTGCCTGGACCTGGATGGCCCAGGATGGCATGATCTTGACACATCTCAGAACCTAAGCAGGGTCAGCTCTGGTTAGTCTTTGGATGGGAGACCACCGAGGAAGCCCAGGGTTGCTACACAGAGGCAGGCAATGGCGAACCACCTCTGAACATCTCTTGCCTGGACCTGGATGGCCCAGGAAGGCCTGATCTTGACACATCTCAGAAGCTAAGCAGGGTCAGCTCTGGTTAGTCTTTGGATGGGAGACCACCGAGGAAGTCCAGGGTTGCTACACAGAGGCAGACAATGGCGAACCACCTCTGAACATCTCTTGCCTGGACCTGGATGGCCCAGGATGGCATGATCTTGACACATCTCAGAACCTAAGCAGGGTCAGCTCTGGTTAGTCTTTGGATGGGAGACCACCGAGGAAGCCCAGGGTTGCTACACAGAGGCAGGCAATGGCGAACCACCTCTGAACATCTCTTGCCTGGACCTGGATGGCCAGATCTCATGAGGTCTTGGCAACTCAGCAGGGTCGGCCCTGGTTAGTCCTTGGATGGGAGATCACCAAGGAACACCAGGGTTGTTATGCAGAGGCAGGCAATGGCAAAGAACCTCTGTTTATTGCCTTGACCTGGGTGGCCCCAGGCTCGCCTGATCTTGACAGATCTCGGAAGCTAAGCAGGGTTGGCCTGGGTTATTGCTTGGATGGGAGACCACCGAGGGAGTCCAGGGTTGTTATGCAGAGGTGGGCAAGGGCAAACCACCACTGTTCATCTCTTCCCTTGACCTGGGTGGTGCTGGCTAATCCACTCTCATCAGATCTTGGAAGCTAAGCAGGGTCGGCCCTGGTTAGCCCTTGGATGGGAGACCTCCAATGAACACCAGGGGTGTTATGCAGAGGCAGGCCACGGCAAAGAACCTCTGTTTCTTGCCTTGACCTGGATGGCCCAAGTTAGCTCCATCTCATCAAACCTTGGAAGCTAAACAGGGTTGGACCTGGTTAGTCCTTGGATGGTGTCCGATTCCCCAAGCATTCGAAATAAATCCACGTTTGAAGAAACCAGGGGTTTGAGTGGGCGCCGCCGCCGCCCCTATCCTATCAACGAGATAGTATGTCATCGGCTGCCCTACGAAGGTGGGTGTCCGATTCCCCATGCATTCGAAATAAATCCACGTTTGAAGAACAAAGTTAAATTTATTATAAAGCGATGGTTAGATCAGGAACACAAGAATTGTTAGGAATGACTACAGACCCCAAAGGGAAACATAATAAAGGAACTTGAACCAGGTTAGCACCTATGAGTCCAATTCCCGCTGGCGGGAAGGCAGATAAAACTAGCGCCCAATTCCTTGGGAACACAACGGTTCTACAACATAAACACAAGTTCAGTTCTCAGGCTTGAGATACATAATAAGCACAGCAACGCCATAACTCCATCCCACCTCCAGCTGGTTGACCTTGAGCAGTTCCGCAGATGTAGCAAGCAAAAGACAGTAAACACCTACACAGGAGGATACAGGGGGGAACGGACAGGGTACAGTGTAACATGTAGAAAAGAACACACCACCCTATGGCAGCTTGCTGACAGATGGGAGACCACTGAAGAAGTCCAGGGTTGCTATGCAGAGGTTGTTTAAACTGTAACTGTTTAGGAAATAGATATTTGTAAGTATGTATGTGAACTATATCACACAGGCTATTCTCTTTGTAACTTTAACTCTCTTTAAGAACTGTAGTTTCACTTTACAGATATATACGGCTTTCTCTCTCAGATACCCCACAGAACAAACTGAACTCTCTCTCTGACTCCACACAGCACGCTCAGAGCTCTCACTGACTGAAAATCCAACCGAGCCACATCAACTGCTTTTTAAGAACATAAGAACATAAGAGACGCCAATGTTGGATCAGGCCAAAGGCCCATCCAGTCCAACACTCTGTGTCACACAGTGGCCAGAAATACCAGTGCCATCAGGAGGTCCAGCAGTGGGGCCAGGACATTAGAAGCCCTCCCACTGTTGACCCCCCCCCCCCAAGCACCAAGAAGACAGAGCCTCACTTGCCCCAGAGCCCCTAGCTATACCTTGTGGCTAATAGCCACTGATGGACCTCTGCTCCATATGCTTATCTAATTCCCTTTTGAAGCCGTCCATGCTTGTAGCACCCACCACTTCCTGTGGCAGTGAATTCCATGTGTTAATCACTCTTTGGGTGAAGAAGTACTTCCTTTTATCCGTTCTAACCCGACCGCTCTGCAGTTTCATGGAGTGCCCACGAGTTCTTGTATTTTCTTCCAGCCCTCATTATTCCTCATACAGAATAACGCCTCCCACACTCTGCCATCCAGGAAGCCCTGCACACTAGTTACTATCAAACATTTAAAGGGACACACACTCTCTCAAACAAGGAATCTTCACAGAACTTTCGTGAGTCCAGTGTTCCCACTAAGCGGAGTCAGTGTGAGCCAGCTCACAGTTTTTTAGTCTCTGACTCACACATTTTTGTCTCGGCTCAGGGAGGAGGGCTCCAGAGCAAACTAATTCATGCAGCAGCCAAATCGCTCACTCCCGACTTTAATGCCGGGAGCTCACCGAGTAGAATCTTGGCTCACAGGACTCCACAGCTTAGAGGGAGCACTGGAGACCCCTGCTGCAAATGTTGTTAGTCTTTAAGGTGCCCCTGGACTCTTGCTCTTTTCTCCTGCTACTGACAGACTAACAGGGCTGCCCATCTTAATCTATCTGAAGAAGCGAGTCATGACTCACGAAAGCTCCTCCCCTGCCACAAATTTTGTGAGTCGTTAAGGTGCCCCCTTGGAGCTGCGGTGGCTCAAGTGGTTAAGACGCTGAACTGCAGGCTGTGGAAGGTCAGTAGTTCAGCAGTTCAAGACCCGAGTGTGCCGCATGACGGAGTGAGCTCCCGTCTCTAGTTCCAGCTCCTGCCAACCTAGCAGTTCGAAAGCAAGAAATTGCAAGTAGATAAATAGGTACCACTTCAGTGGGAAGGAAACAGCGTTCCGTGCGCCTTGATGTTTAGTCATGCCAGCCACATGACCACGGAAACGTCTTCGGACAGTGCTGGCTCTTCGGCTTTGAAACGGAAATGAGCACCGCAACCCTAGAGTCGGAGTCAACTGGCTTTCGAGCAAGGGAACCTTTACCTTTTAAGGTGTTCCTGGACTTTGGCTCTTTTCTCCTGCTACAGACAGACTAACACGGTTCTGCCCATCTCGATCTGTTTCGAGACTGCCCACCTTGACCGGAGCTCCCAACATCAAGATACCCATTATTTGGTTTATACACCAAAACATGTTCTGTGGAAAGATATAGTGGGCGGGATTTTTCATGGAACAGTACAGCAGTGGCAAACGACTTCTTGAAACGTTGCTCCCAGCTCTTAGCGAAAGGTTCTTGGTGCATCGCTGCAGAAATCTCTGATCTCGCGGTTTGCATTTCTGGATCCATGTGGGTCTGCTGAGGGGTCTGTGTTGTTGTCTGGGGGTGGAACTGTGGCTCAGGCAGAGCATGTGCTCAATATGCAGGAGGTCCCAGGTTCAATCCCCGACAGCATCTCCAGTTACAAAGGACCAGGCAGGAGGTGATGGGAAGGACCTCCGCCTGAGACCCTGGAGAGCTGTAAAGAGGGGCTGTGGCTCAGTGGCAGAGCCTCTGCTTGGCATGCAGGAGGGCCCAGGTTCAATCCCCGGCAGCATCTCCAGTTACAAAGGACCAGGCAGGAGGTGATGGGAAGGACCTCCGCCTGAGACCCTGGAGAGCTGTAAAGAGGGGCTGTGGCTCAGTGGCAGAGCCTCTGCTTGGCATGCAGGAGGGCCCAGGTTCAATCCCCGGCAGCATCTCCAGTTACAAAGGACCAGGCAGGAGGTGATGGGAAGGACCTCCGCCTGAGACCCTGGAGAGCTGTAAAGAGGGGCTGTGGCTCAGTGGCAGAGCCTCTGCTTGGCATGCAGGAGGGCCCAGGTTCAATCCCCGGCAGCATCTCCAGTTACAAAGGACCAGGCAGGAGGTGATGGGAAAGACCTTTAACCTGTGACCCTGGAGAGCTGTAAAGAGGGGTTGTGGCTCAGTGGCAGAGCCTCTGCTTGGCGTGCAGGAGGTCCCAGGTTCAATCACCAGAAGCATCTCCAGTTTAAAGGACCAGGCAGGAGGTGATGGGAAGGACCTCCGCCTGAGACCCTGGAGAGCCACAACCTCACAGTCTGAGTAGACAATACTGACCTCAATGGACGGTCTGATTCAGGAGAAGGCAGCTTCATGTGTTCATGTGTTATTTTGACATGTGAGAGTGGGACGGGCGAAGGCATTGGTAGGAAAAAAGCTTAAACCAATACTCCCTTTTGTTTTGTAGGAACCGGAGGATCACAGCAGATCAGCAACGTAAGTCCTTCGGGAAACTCCCGGCCACCTTATTCAGTTAGTGGAGTACCACCATAAAGCTGGTCTTGGGCTCCTCCAATTCAAGGTTGCGGCTAGAGGGGCTGGTTCTTGGAAGCCATCTAAGGAACTCTCTGCATGTAGAAAACTAGCTGGGAGAACTGGGTTTGATTCCCCACTCCTCCACTTGCACCTGCTGGATGACCTTGGGCAAGCCACAGTTCTGATAAGAGCTGTTCTTGAAAAAGAGAAGTTTCTGTCAAGAGCTCTCTCAGCCCCACCTACCTCAGAGGGTGTCTGTTGTGGGGAGGGGAAGGGAAAGAAGTTTGTGAGCCGCTCTGAGACTCCCTTGGGTAGTGAAGGGCGGGGTATAAATCCAATCTCCTCCTCATCCTCATCCTCCACATGCAGCTGCTGGATGGCCTTGGGCAAGCCATAGTTCTGATAAGAGCTGTTCTTGAAAAAGAGCCGTTTCTGTCAGAGCTCTCTCAGCCCTGCCTACCTCCCAGGGCGTCTGTTGTGGGGAGGGGAAAGGAAAGGAGTTTGTCAGCCGCTCTCAGACACCTTTGGGTAGTGAAGGGCGGGGTATAAATCCAATCTCTTCATCGTCTGTGGGGGGGAGGTATTTGTGAATTTCCTGCACTGTGCAGGGGGTTGGACTAGATGACCCTGAGGGTCCCCTCCAACTCCATGCGTCTATGATGAGGATTTTTCTAAAGCGCTGACCAGTGTGTGTATGGCGGGGAATTAAAAAAAATAAATTATTGGATTTATAACCCGCCCTCCCCGGAACAGGCTCAGGGCGGCTGACAAATGAGGCACATATGCCAAGATTAAAACAACTAAAAACAGAATAAAACAATCATTCATACAATAAAGCGCAGGTGCTCTAGTAGTCACCTGTTTATCTCAAGAGCCAGATTTGAGGCCGAGTAGCACCTTAGAGAAGAAGCTGCGGTGGCTCAAGTGGTTAAGACGCTGAACTGCAGGCTGCGGAAGGTTGGTCGTTCAGCAGTTCGAGACCCGAGTGTGCCGCATGACGGAGTGAGCTCCCGTCTCTAGTTCCAGCTCCTGCCAACCTAGCAGTTCGAAAGCAAGAAATTCCAAGTAGATAAATTGGTACCACTTCGGTGGGAAGGTAACAGCGTTCCATGTGCCTTGGTGTTTAGTCATGCCGGCCCCATGACCACGCAAACGTCTTCGGACAGCGCTGGCTCTTCAGCCTTGAAGCGGAGATGAGCACCGCAACCCTAGAGTCGGACTCGACTGGCTTTCGAGCAAGGGAACCTTGAACTTGAGCACCTTAGAGACCAACAAGATTCTCGGGGCGTGAGCTTCCGAGCGCCAACGATCCCTTCGTCAGATACAAGGAGGAATGGCGATCCTTATATCCCGGTCTGAGGCTGGGAACGGCATTGCAAAAGTACAATGGAAGAATGTAATCAGACAGATTAGTGCAGGGGAGACATGCTCAGGGCTCTGTCCTCTCCAGTCTGACCTGTGGACGGCTTTTAGAGAGGACCCGGCAGATCACGGAGGAGAGGTCTATCAGTGGTTACTGGCCATGGTGACTAAAGGGAACCTCCACGTTCAGAGGCAGACAGCCTCCAAATCACCAGTGCCAGGAGGCAGCATCAGGGGAAGGCCTCGGCCTCACTGGTCTGATTCAGCGTGGTTTATGGTCTTATGAAGGCCTCTATATCCTGCTGCTGGGCCTCCAGAGGAACTAGTTGGCCACTGCGTGAGAGGGGATGCTGGACTAGATGGACCCTCACTGGTCTGATCCAGCAGGGCTCTTCTTGGTGTTCTTATGAAGGCCTCGGCCTCTCTGCCCTGTTGTTGGCCCTCCAGAGGAACTGGCTGGCCACTGCGTGAGACGGGATGCTGAACTGGACGGACCCTCACTGGTCTGATCCAGCAGGGCTCTTCTGAGGTTCTTCTCAGGGGAAGGCCTCGGCCTCTCTGCCCTGTTGTTGGCCCTCCAGAGGAACTGGTTGGCCACTGTGTGAGACAGGAGGCTGGACTAGAATGACCCTCCCTGGTCTGACCCAGCAGGGCTCTTCTGATGTCCTTCTCAGGGGAAGGCCAAGGCCTCTCTGCCCTGTTGTTGGACCTCCAGAGGAACTGGCTGGCCCCTGGGTGAGACGGGATGCTGGACTAGATGGACCCTCCCTGGTCTGACCCAGCAGGGCTCTCCTGAGGTTCTTCTCAGGGGAAGGCCTCGGCCTCTCTGCCCTGTTGTTGGCCCTCCAGAGGAACTGGTTGGCCACTGTGGGAGACGGGATGCTGGACTAGAGGGACCCTCCCTGGTCTGATCCATCACGGCTCTTCTTCAGTTCTTCTGTTCTTAATCGGCCTTCCCCCAAATCAAATGGTTCTTCCCCCAATGTTCTGATGTTCTTCTCAGAAGAGAAGAGATTGCATTTATACCCCACCCTTCACTACCCTAAGGAGTCTCAGAACGGCTTACAAACTCCTTTCCCTTCAGTTTGGTGTCGTGGTTAAGTCCGGGAGAACCGGGTTTGATTCCCCACTCCTCCACTTGCATCTGGCTGGATGCCCTTGGGCAAGCCATAGTTCTGATAAGAGCTGTTCTTGAAAAAGAGCAGTTTCTGTCAAGAGCTCTCAGCCCCACCTACCTCACAGGGTGTCTCTGTAAGCCGCTCAGAGACACCTCTGGGTAGTGAAGGGCGGGGTACAAATCCAATCTCTTCTTTTCTTCTTTCTTCTCTTCCCCACAACAGACACCCTGTGAGTGAGGTTGGCGGGGCTGAGAGAGAGCTCTGATAGAAACTGCTCTTTTCCAAGAACAGCTGTGCCAGAACTATGGCTTGCCCAAGGTCATCCAGCAGGTGCAGGTGGAGGAGTGGGGAATCAAACCTGGTTCTCCCAGATTAGAGTCCGCGCACTTCACCACCACACCAAGCTGGCTCACGAAGGCCTCTGCCCTGTTGCTGGCCCTCCAGAGGAACTGGTTGGCCCCTGTGTGAGACAGGATGCTGGACTCGATGGACCGTCACTGGTCTGATCCAGCAGAGCCCGTTCTTATATTGCATCTGGCCAAGGGAGCTTTGACTCTTGAAATCTTATATCCTAAAAATCTTGGTGGTGTCTAAAGTGCTCCTGGATTTGAATCTTGCTCTTCTAGTGGAGATCAGTATGGCTACCCATCTGAAACAGTTCACTAGAGTGGGTGGATCTGCCCATCTTCCACTTGTTTTACCCATAATCCTGGATCCTTACAACTAATCCATCTCAGACAAAACAATTAATGTGTCTTTAAATCTACATGGATCCGCTTGGCGAGAAGCACAGTCGATTGCTCCTTGGCCTGCCCATAACGGCCTGAGAAAATTCCAGTGCTTTCCAGCCTCCTCTTGACACCATCGCTTAAGCTTGGTGGCATCTCTTGGCTAAGCAGCCCGCGGACATACAGTGGGTCACTAAGGAACCACCCAGTGACTGATCTCCCCATCTCTCTTTCTTTTGTGAGCAGTACAGGCAGGGTGTACGGCTACAACCCCAACCCGACGGTACCCAAAGGAGTCCGGAGGCCACTCAGCAAAACCGCCATGCATCAGAGCCGAAGGCAGTCGGACACACAGCCTGCAGATGTAAGTGCTCGGCCAGGGATGGTGGAGCATGCCAGGTGTCCGGCCTGAAGCTGGCTACATGCCCAAATGGTTTACTTTTAGAGCACCCAAGATTTACCCATCCTTACCAGAGTCTGGGGGGGGGGTGTCTTTGCTGGCTTGAAAAGGAAGCTGCCTTAAACATTGCGAAGAAAAAGATGGGGTAGAAATGTTTTTTGGAAGTAAGGCAAGACACGGATAGATTAGCAAGAGGCCGATTCAGAGCGGGGACTCGTGCAGAGATGCCATGTCAGAGCAGGGACTCGTGCAGAGACGCACTTTTCTCTGAGCAGGGGGGTAGATCTGCCTGTTCCAGTGGGTGGATGATCCAGAGACTTGACAGGTTGTCCTGCCTTCTCGACAGGGGCAAGCCAGAATCGTCACTAGGGAGGTGCATTCGGTTCTTCCAAACCGAATGCACCCCCGAAAATGGCCCATTCGGACCCCTTTCGGGCTGCTGCAGGCCAATTCAGATTCTCTTGTCGGCGGCAATTCGGCCCCATTATATCCTATGAACTATTGAAGTCAATGGCGAAAACATAGGGTATATTCTGGGGACTGGAGGGGAGGGGGTTTGAGGGAGAGGCTCCAAATTCGCAGGATAGCTGCGCTGGAGCCTCTCCCCAAGATACCAACCAAGTTTGAAGAACATTGGACCAGGAGGTCCGATTCTACGCCCCCCCCCCAAACAGGTTGCCCCTATCCCCTCCATTGTTCTCTATTGTGGGAAATTGATTCTGCAGGGTTCGGCCGAATCCGAATCGGGTCGAATTTTTTATTTTTTTTTGCACACCCCTAATCGTGACATGCCCAGCGTCTTGCTAGGAGGGGATAGAGGGTTTGTAAGAAAAGTATTATAGAAAACTGCTGGGATTAGATTGGTACCTGATTTTAAAAAAGGAAGACACAAGGGCTCGGCTGACGTGACCCACGATCACATATTTTTTATTTTTTGACATTTTACCCCACCCTCCCCGCAAGCGGGCTCAGGGCGGCTTTCAAGGGGCGTAAGCCCATGCATAAAACCACATAAAACCGTAAAATCATAAATAATAGCAATAACAATAACAATAATAAAGTGCTTCATGTAAACAAGATGGTCTTTGGATAGTTTCATGATGGTATCAGTCATTTCCTTAGATCTCATGATGGTGTCAGTCATTTCCATGGGGTGATATTGTCCTATAGATAGCTCAAGCCGATCCAGCAGTTTGGCTGTGGATTTTACCACTGGTTTTGAACCGGGGGGGGGGAGGGGCTGGTATATTGTGACCCACCTTGGATTTGGGATTTGGGGGGGGGCAGGGGCGGCAGTGAGCAGTGCTCCCTCTAAGCTGTGGAGTCTTGTGAGCAAAATTTCTACTCTTGTGAGCAACTGGCATTACAGTTGTGAGTGGGCGATTTGGCTGCTGCATCAGTTAGTTTTCCTCTGGAGCCCTCCTTCCGGAGCCGAGACAAAAATGTGTGAGCCGGAGGCTCACAAAGTAGAATGGTTGCTCACAAGATTCCACAGCTTAGAGGGAACATTGGGTGTGGGGGGAGGTATTTGTGAATTTCCTGCCTTGTGCAGGGGGTTGGACTAGATGACCCTGGAGGTCCCTCCCTACTCTATGATTCTAGGTTCGTGTTTGGGTAAGTCTATCGTCCCCCTCCATATAAAACCCACAGATCCTTGCAGATCAGAGCAGGAAGATATGCACGGGGCAGTTCTGTGCAAGAAACGTTCTGGGTCCTGCCTCGCGGGGACAGGGAGGCGGACAGAAGGCCGAACACGTTTTAAAAGAGGGCTCGGAAGGTTCAGAGGCCAGGGCATGACTGACCGGCGAGGGGTCCTCCCTTCTCTCCAGCAGGACGTGATGATGCTCTCGAGCAGCACGGACAGCGAGGGGGACAACGGGCGGGGCACCTCGGGGCAAGCGCAGGGCAACGCGAACGACAGCGACGACATCCAGACGATCTCCTCCGGGTCCGAGGAGGAGCACGGGGCAGACGAGAAGAAGAACAGCTCTTCCAGGCTCGGTAAATCCCGCAGCTTTTGAAAAGGGTTGTCTGGGAAGACATTTGATTTGTGTTTTTCTATATGTGGAGAATGAGTTTGGTGCAGTGGTTAAGAGCGGCGGACTCTAATCTGGGAGAACCGGATCTGAGTCCCCACTCCTCCACATGCAGCTGCTGGTGTGACCTGGGGTCAGTCACAAGTTATCTCAGAGCTGTTCTCTCAAGGGCAGTCCTCGGGAGAGCTCTCTCAGCTCCACCGACCTCACGGGGTGTCTGTTGTGGGAAGGGGAAGGGAAAGCCACTCTGAGAGAGCCAGTTTGGTGTCGTGGTTAAGTGCGCGGACTCTAATCTGGGAGAACCGGGTTTGATTCCCCCACTCCTCCACTTGCACCTGCTGGATGACCTTGGGCAAGCCATAGTTCTGGCAGAGCTGTTCTGGAAAAAGAGCAGTTTCTCTCAGCTCTCTCAGCCCCACCGACCTCACAGGGTGTCTGTTGTGGGGAGGGGAAGGGAGTTTGTGAGCCGCTCTGAGATCCCTTCAGGTAGTGAAGGGCGGGGTATAAATCCAGTCTCTTCTCTCTCTAAAGTGGGTGGGGCGCTTGCCCAGCAGGGCTTCTGATTGGAGGGCCACCTCCTGTGGCAGCCATTTTGTGGCTGGCTCCACCTCGCACGGTGGCCATGTCGTGGTTGCACTCACCTCCTTCTATCAAAATCCCACAGGCTCAAAAAGGTTGGGTACCCCCATACTGGGGAGTTTCAACTGCGGTAGTTAGACTTTTTTTTTTGGCCGATCAGTTTGATTTACCTCTCTATCGGAAAGCTCGAGGGGACTTCCGATAAACTTCCACCCATCCTGTGGATCCTGTCCTTTCGTCCCCCCGAGAAGCTCCAAGCAGCTCGCATCGGTTCTGTTTTCCCTGTTTGGTCTTCCTGGCAGCTGACCTGTAAAAACAAGAACCGAAAGACCCCACCAGCCGGCAATCTTGGGGCTATCTCTGTAAGAAGAAGAGAAGAGATTGGATTTATACCCTGCCCTTCACTCGGAGTCTCACAGTGGCTTTCAGAACTCCTTTTTCTTCCCCTCCCCACAACGGATACCCTGTGAGGTAGGCGGGGCCGAGAGAGCTCTCTTGAGGACTGCCCTCGAGAGAACAGCTCTGAGAGAACTTGTGCCTGGCCCAAGGTCACCCAGCAGCTGCGAGTGGGGAATCAAACCCGGTTCTCCCAGTGGGGCTGAGAGAGCTCTTGACAGAAATGGCTCTTTTTCAAGGACAGCGCTTATCAGAACGATGGCTTGCCCGAGGTCATCCAGCAGCTGCAGGTGGAGGAGCGGTGAATCAAACCCGGTTCTCCCAGACTAGAGTCCGCGCACTTAACCGCCACACCAAACTGGAAGAGGCAGTCCTGCCGGCCTCGTTCTGGGATCCTTTGCTATGACCCGACCGACCCTCTCTCTCTCTTTGATCCTCCCCCCCCCCCCCCCCCACGGCCGCAGCCACGAAGCGCCAAGTGGCCGTGAAATCCACCCGGGGCTTCGCCCTGAAGTCGACCCACGGCATCGCCATCAAGTCGACCAACCTGGCCTCGGGGGAGAACGCCCTCATCCGGAAGAACACGCGGCAGTTCTACGACGGCGAGGAGTCCTGCTACATCATCGACGCCAAGCTCGAGGGGAACCTCGGCCGCTACCTCAACGTAAGCCCCCCCCTCCCCGTCTTATTGGACCTGCCCTCCTTTTAGTGAAGACCAACCGGAGCGCGTCTCACAGCACAAGGAGAACCATAGCATGAGCACGCGGGGGGATCAGGAATGCGATCTTGGGGTGTATCAACAGAGGCCCATCAGCAGTTTCTAGCCATGATGACTGAGGGGAACCTCCACATTCAGGGGCACTAAGCCTTTGAATACCAGAGCCAGGAGGCAACATCAGGGAAAGGCCTCGGCCTCTCTGCCCTATTGTTGGGTGTCCAGAGGAACTGGGTGGCCACTGTGTGAGACGGGAGGCTGGACTAGATGGACCCTCACAGGTCTGACCCAGCAGGGCTCTTCTGAGGTTCTTCTCAGGGGAAGGCCTCGGCCTCTCTGCCCTGTTGTTGGCCTTCCAGGGGAACTGGGTGGCCCCTGTGTGAGACAGGAGACTGGACTAGATGGACCCTCACTGGTCTGACCCAGCAGGGCTCTTCTGAGGTTCTTCTCAGGGGAAGGCCTCAGCCTCTCTGCCCTGTTGTTGGCCCTCCAGAGGAACTGGTTGGCCACTGTGTGAGAGGAGGCTGGACTGGATGGACCCTCACAGGTCTGACCCAGCAGGGCTCTTCTGATGTTCTTCTCAGGGGAAGGCCTCGGCCTCTCTGCCCTGTTGTTGGCCCTCCAGAGGAACTGGTTGAGGCCACTGTGTGAGACAGGAGGCTGGACTGGATGGACCCTCACTGGTCTGACCCAGCAGGGCTCTCCTGATGTTCTTCTCAGGGGAAGGCCTCGGCCCCTCTGCCCTGTTGCTGGCCCTCCAGAGGAACTGGCTGGCCCCTGTGTGAGACGGGATGCTGGACTAGATGGACCCTCACTGGTCTGCTCCAGCAGGGCTCTTCTAATGTCCTCTTGCTCCCTTTTTGCAAGTTTTCTCCTTTTCGACAAATCGCTCTGTCTCTGTCTCCCCTTCTTCTCTTTCCAGCATAGCTGCAGCCCTAACCTCTTTGTGCAGAACGTCTTTGTGGACACACACGATCTCCGTTTCCCGTGGGTGGCCTTCTTCGCAAGCAAGTAAGAGCCGTCAGAGAAGATCTCCCTTTTTCTCCCGCCCCAAACGAGGCCTGTTGGTTTTCCCTGGGCCTGCCCTCTCTGTTCCTCCCCCGCCCTGTATGGGGTTGTCTTGTGGGAGGGGGTGTGGTTTTTGGCCCCGCAGACCTTGGGCAGATCTACTGTCCCTATTCTGAAATCTTAAAAGCAGGGCTCTTGTTGTAGCAGGAACTCCTCTGCATATTAGGCGACATACCCCTAATGTAGCCAATTCTCCAAGAGCTTACAGTAGCCCCTGTAAGAAGAGCTCTGTAAGCTCTTGGAGGATTGGCTACTTTAGTGGTGTGTCGCCTAATATGCAGAGGAGTTCCTGCTACAAAAAGAGGCCTGGTGGGATTTCCCTTGTTTTTTTCATGTGTGTAACTGAGTAGGATTCTGTGCTCAAGAAGGTCAGAGTGGTCCAAAGGGGAAATCGGCTGCCCAGGGAGGTGGTGAGCTCCCCTTCACTGACAGCTTTCGAGAAGAGGCTGGACAGGTATTTGTCAGGGATGCTTTAGGCTGGTCCTGCATTGGGCAGGGGGCTGGGCTAGATGGTCTGTGTGCCCCCTTCCAATTCTGTGATGCTATGATAAGGTGCCAGCATTAGTCCAGGGTCCCCAGCCTTTTAGTGTTCATTGAGGGGCTGAGCAAACATACGGACAATGGCGACCAAGTCAATGTTGTTTGCTTAGCCTTCCAGAGAGCTTTTGATAAATGTTCCTCATCAAAGGCTCCTAAGTAAACTCAGCAGTCACGGGATAAGAACACAAGAACATAAGAGAAGCCAGTGTTGGATCAGGCCAGTGACCCATCTAGTCCAACACTCTGTCACATAGCGGCCATCAGGAGGTCCAGCAGTGGGGCCAGGACACTAGAAGCTCTCCCACTGTTGCCGCGCCCCCCAAGCACCAAGAAGACAGAGCATCCCTTGCCCCCAGACCGAGAGTTTCTGGCTATACCTTGTGGCTGAGAGCCACTGATGGACCTCTGCTCCAGATGCTTATCCAGTTCCCTCTTGAAGCCGTCCATGCTTATAGCCGCCACCACTCCCTGTGGCAGTGAATACCATGTGTGGGTGAAGAAGGACTTCCTTTGATCCGTTCTAACCCGACCGCTCAGCAATTTCATGGAGTGCCCACAAGGAGTTCTTGTCTTGTGAGAAAGGGAGAGAAGTACCTCTTTCTCGACCTGCTCTATCCCATGCATCATCTTGTAAGCCTCGATCATGTCACCCCTCAGCCGTTGTTCCTCCAAGCTAATTAATGCTTTGGATTTGGGAGTAAGCAGTGAAGTGGCTACGTTTGCAGATGACTCTCAGATGTTCAGAGCGGTGAGAACCAGGGAGGACTCTGCATTTTATTATCAATTTATTTATTTATTCGGATTTCTACCCCGCCCTCCCAGCCGGAGCGGGCTCAGAGCAGCTCACATAAATACAGATGAGTTACATTAAAACATAAATTACAATTAAGACCAAGCTCCCTCTAAGCTGTGGAGTCTTGCGAGTAAAAATGATCCTTTGTGAGCCACTGGCACTAAAGGTGTGAGCGAGCGATTTGGCTGCTGCGTCAATTAGTTTGCTCCGGAGCCCTCCTTCCTGAGCTAAGACAGAAATGTGTGAGCCGTGAGCTAGCTCACGCTAACTCAGCTTAGAGGGAACACTGATTAGCAGGCTGAGCAAGCGGGCATCAACGTGGCAAATGGGGTTCAATAGGGCCAAATCCTAACTATAAATACACGTTGATGGGGTCCGAACTGGCAGAGACTGACCAAGAGAGAGATCTTGGAGTCGTAGTAGATAACTCAATGAAAATGTCGAGACAGTGTGCGACTGCAATAAAAAAGGCCAATACTATGCTGGGGATTATTAGGAAGGGGACTGAAAACAAATCAGCCAGTATCATAATGCCCCTGTATAAATCGATGGCGCGACCTCAATCGGAATACTGTGTGCAGTTCTGGTCACCGCACCTCGAGAAAGATATTATAGCCTTGGAAAAGGTGCAGAAAAGGGCAACTTAAATGAATAAGGGGATGGAACGCCTTCCCTATGAAGAAAGGTTGAAGAGATGAGGGCTCTTTAGGTTGGAGAAATGCTGACTGAGGGGTGACAGGACAGAGGTTTACAAAATTATTCAGGGGAGAGAAGGTAGAGAAAGCAGTCCTTTTCTCACTTTCTCACCGTACTCGTGGGCACTCCATAAAATTAATGAGCAGTAGGCTTAGAACAGATCAAGTACTTCTTCACCCAAAGGGTAATGAACACGTGGAATTCACTGCTGCAGGGCGTGGTGGCAGCTACAAGCAATGACAGCTTCAAGAGCGAATTGGATAAGCATATGGAGCAGAGGTCCATCAGTGGCCATTAGCAACAAGGTATAGATAGGAACTCTCAGGCTGGGGTAAGGGATGCTCTGTTTTCTTGGTGCTTGGGGGAGGGGTCAACAGTGGGAGGGCTCCTAGTGTCCTGGCCCCCCTGCTGGACCTCCTGATGGCCCCTGGTATTTTTGGCCACTGTGTGACACAGAGTGTTGGACTGGATGGGCCATTGGCCTGATCCAACATTGACTTCTCTTATGTTCTTATGTTAAGAGCAGAGGTCCATCAGTGGCTCTTAGCCACAAGGTATAGATAGGAAATCTCAGTCTGGGGCAAGTGATGCTCTGTCTTCTTGGTGCTTGGGGGAGGGGTCAACAGTGGGAGGGCTCCTAGTGTCCTGGCCCCCCTGCTGGACCTTCTGAGGGCCCCTGGTATTTTTGGCCACTGCGACACAGATTGTTGGATTGAATGGGCCATTGGCCTGATCCAACCTTGGCTTCTCTTATGTTCTTATACGGAGCAGAGGTCTATCAGTGGCTATTAGCCACAAGGTATAGATAGGAACTCTCGGTCTGGGGCAAGGGATGCTCTGTCTTCTTGGTGCTTGGGGGAGGGCAACAGTGGGAGGGCTTCTAGTGTCCTGGCCCCCCTCCTGCACCTTCTGACGGCCCCTGGTATTTTCGGCCACTGTGTGCCAGACATAGTGTTGGACTGTATGGGCCATTGGCCTGATCCAACATTGGCTTCTTTTATGTCCTTATGCCCCCAACCTTTTTGAGCCTGTGGGTGCCTTTGGAAGTCTGATACAGCATGAAGGGCACAACTGCAAAATGGCTCCTGCAGCTTATCTCCAGGCACACAGTAAATATCCTTGTGTGGTGGTAGGAGCTCCTGCCAAAGCAGTGCTTTTAAAAATCTGCCCAGGCAATCAAATCTCAAGTGGCCCATCAGAAGCCTTGCTGTGCAAAAGCCCCACCTGCCCTCATTTTCTAAAAAAAAAACTTGGCAGGCACCATGAAAGGTGTCAGTGTGTGCCCTGGCAACCGAGGGCACCGTGTTGGGGACCACCGTGTTTGTAGGATCCAGCCCAGAACAAAAAGTTCACTAAAAACTGGTTAGAAAGGGGTAAAGGCAGCAATTCCCATAGCCTTCTCCACGAATGGTGGTGTCTTCTAGGTCTGTGCGCTCGGTATAAACTGAGCCGAAAAAGTCCCGATATTTTATTGGTATTTATTGGGTATTTTCTCAGCCAATCTTCAAGGGGCTACTGATTTGGCTATCCGAAAATGGCTACCTAAACCCCCCCCTCCCCGAAAATATTTGGGTGTTTTTGGAGCCGCCAGATAGCTGCAGTTACTGGGCATTTAAAGGGGTGCCAGTCCATTTGGATGCCTTTCGAGTGAATAGAATCACAGGATGTTAAGAGTTGGAAGGGACCTTGCAGGTCATCTAGTCCAACCCTCTGCACTCTGCAGGAGCATAGCCAAAAGATAGCCCTGCAACATATCTGAAAGATGGTCGTCACCCCTTCATTGGAAGCAATGGAAAATGAGGGCTCCCTTCTTCTGGGGCCCATAGAATTGGACCCCCTGGTCCAACCTTTTTGAAATGGGGGGGGGGTGTTGAGGAGAGGCACCATCATCTACACTGCAAATCTGGTGCCTCTACCTCAAAAAAACAGCTCCCCCAGATCGATTCTCCATTATAGCCTTTGGGGACCATTGACTCTGATGGTCCCCATAGGGTATAATGGCGGCAAAAAAGGGCCCGGTCTTCTGCACGCACAAAATTATTGGTGGGACAGTCAGGAAGGGGTCTCTCCTCTCGATCTTAATTCCCACTCAGGGATTAAGGTCCCTGCAGTCTTTAATTAACTCACCGCTGCAATGCAGGCAACCGTCTCTCTGTTTCATCCGTTCCCGACTTTGTTTTCAGGCGGATCCGGGCCGGGACAGAGCTCACATGGGATTACAACTACGAAGTGGGCAGCGTGGAGGGGAAGAAGCTGCTCTGTTGCTGCGGAGCCCTCGAGTGCCGGGGCCGCTTGTTGTAAAGGGGAACGAGATTCTTTTTGTGTACCTGTGTGTGGAGTCGGGTCTTCGAAGGAAACCAAAAAAGCTTCTAGGGGGAGAAGACGTTCCTTTGCTCTCAACCCTGCGTCTCCTCCCGTTTCAAGACACACCCCTCTCGTTTGTGTTTTGGCGATCGGTTGTACTTGCGTCGCATCGTAAAAACCGCCTTCTTTTTTTATTGTTTTAAAGCAATAATAAAAATGTTGCTATGTAGTCTTTATTAAAGTTCTGTTGCTAGAGGTCTTGTGTCATAAGACTCGCCCGGGCAGAAATTATCCTAAGCTTTCCATGGGGTGGAGAGAAACAGACAAGGCTGTAGGCATTCAGCAGTTATCCCCGCCTTAGAATCATAGAATGTTAGAGTTGGAAGGGACCTTGCAGGTCATCTAGTCCAACCCCCTGCACTCTGCAGGAGCATAGCCAAAAGATAGCCCTACAACCAGTGTTCCCTCTAAGCTGAGTTGGTGTGAGCTAGCTCACAGTTTTGTAGTCTCTGGCTCACCCATTTTTGTCTTAGCTCAGGAGGGATGGCTCCAGAGCAAACTAATTTAGGCAGGAGCCAAATTGCTCGCTCACAACTTTCATGCCAGTAGCTCACAAAGTAGAATTTTTGCTCACAAGACTCCACAGTTTAGAGGGAACATTGCCTACAACATACTAGGGATGTGCATTTCGGGATCCCGAACCGAAAAAAAAGCCGAAAATAACGATTTTCGGCTTTTTTCTGCTTTTGGGATCCCGAATTAGCAATTTATGAGCTTGTCCGAATCCCGAAAAAAATTCCCGAAAAATTCGGGTCCATTATAACCAATGGGGCCATTGAAGTCAATGGCAAAAATCCTCTTGGAACTTTGCGGGGGGCTGGGGGGGAGGGGGTTTGGGGTAGAGGCTCCAAACTTGGAGCGTGCTTACTGGAACCTCTCCCCAACATACCCACCAAGTTTCAAGACGATTGGACCAGGGGGTACAATTTTATGGGCCCCCAAACAGGTTGCCCCCAGATCAGCTTGCTGCAGTTTATTCGCGGTTTGCCGCCGAAATTCGGCGGCAATTCGGCAACATTGTATCCTATGGACCTTGGAGTGGGTAAGCTCCAAACTTGGAGGGTGGTTACTAGAACCTCTCCCCTACATACCCACCAAGTTTCATGAAGATTGGACCAGGGGGTCCAATTCTATGGGCCCCCAAACAGGTTGCCCCCATCCCATTGTTCTCTATGGTGGGAAAAAAATTACGTTTTTCCCCACCATAGAGATCAATGGAGGGATGGGGGCAAACTGTTTCGGACAGCATGTTTGCAAACTTTTGCCAGACCAGCCAGCCCCAGCCACACTGCAGCAGAGAAGAACCATACAAGTGCCCCCCCACAACCTGTGCCGCCAAACTGGGTGCCCAAAACCCCAAAACCAACACAACTTGGCTCAAACCAAAGAATCTCTCTACAGCAGCAGCACTGAGGTAGCATGTCTGTCCATTGCCAATGCCAGCCAGACAGGCCCAGCAGCAGGACCAGAGCAATCTGCCCCCCCCACAACCTGTGCCAAGGTGCAACCAATCAGTGCCCAGACCAACTTGGTGCAAACCAGAGAATTTCTGCAGACAGCAGCAGCAGCCCACAGACTGAGGGAGCAAGCAAGTGCATGCCAGCCAGGCCCCAGCATTGCAACAGAAGAACAAGAGCAATCTGCCACCTGTGCCAGGCCAGCCAGGTTGCCATGCCAGTCAGTGCCCCAAAACCAGAACTAGGTCAAACCAGAGAATCTCTCCAGACTGCACTGGAGCGGCAGCACACAGGCTGAGGGAGCATGTATGTGCATCGCCAATGCCAATGCCAGCCAGCCAGGCCCAGCAGCAGAACCAGTCCACCACAAGTGTGCCAATGTGCCAGTGCCCAAAAAACCCCAAAAGCAAAACAATCTCTCCCCTCTGCAGTGGCAGCGGCCTACATAGGGGAGCATGTTTGCTAATGGCAGCCATGCCCAGCTGCAGAACCAGAGCAATCTCAACTTCCCCCCAACAACCTCTGTGCCAGTCACCCAACTTACTGGACTCAGTCCAAACCTGAGGATTTCTGCAGTATAAATGAAGGGGGGGGCAGGCAGGGCCTGTGCAAGTGACGTGAGCAATCACTAGGGGTGTGCGTGCGAATCCCCACTCAGCGCACCTGAAGAGAGGCAAAGGGAGGCCAGAGGAACCCAGATGCCCCCAAATTAGAGTGGCTGCCAACTCTCCAGGTGGTGCCCAAAGATTGAGATAGGATGATTCCCAGGTTGGGGAATCATCCAGAGGGGTCCCACGTATGCTACCTCTAGGAAGGTGGCAGCAAGGAAGTAAGATAGCTCCACCCCCACCGGGCAGGGGCAGGCAGGCAAAAACATCCCGAGCCACACAGCGGCTGGCTTGTGGGTCTCCCCGCCCCGTTCCCAGCAATGCAGGAGGTTTTGGGCAAATTGTTGAGAGTGGGGGGTTGGTCAATGGTAACAATCCTTTTTTAGCCTGTGGCCAGTGGCCACCTTTGGATTTCCAAAGCGGAGCGGACTAGTAGTCATCTCTCCTTACAGTCTCTCCTGGCCATGGAGCAGGCGGGCTGGGTGTGGTTGGGGGAGGGGCGTGCAGTGCACAGGTTCTGCTGCTGTCCCCTGCCCTGAACAGGGGACCAAGCCCGACTCCCAAGTTCCCAACTCCTTTTCAGCCTCTCGGCAGCCCACCTTTGGATTTCCAAAGCAGGCTAGGCAAATAGCGCTTCTGGTCATGGAGGAGGGGCCTCTGGGCCTCTGGGGTTGTAAGGGAGACGTCTCTGTGTGAATCTCCTGCATTGCTGGGCACAGAGGTTGATGGGGGGAAGTTGAGATTGCTCTGGTTCTGCAGCTGGGCATGGCTGCGATTAGCAAACATGCTCCCCTATGTAGGCCGCTGCCACTGCAGAGGGGAGAGATTGTTTTGCTTTTGGGGTTTTTTGGGCACTGGCACATTGGCACACTTGTGGTGGACTGGTTCTGCTGCTGGGCCTGGCTGGCTGGCATTGGCATTGGCGATGCACATACATGCTCCCTCAGCCTGTGTGCTGCCGCTCCAGTGCAGTCTGGAGAGATTCTCTGGTTTGACCTAGTTCTGGTTTTGGGGCACTGACTGGCATGGCAACCTGGCTGGCCTGGCACAGGTGGCAGATTGCTCTGGTTCTTCTGCTGCTGGGCCTGGCTGGCTGGCATGCACTTGCTCCCTCAGTCTGTAGTGGCTGCTGCTGCTGTCTGGAGAGATTCTCTGGTTTGACCTAGTTCTGGTTTTGGGGCACTGACTGGCAATTGGCAACCTGGCTGGCCTGGCACAGGTGGCAGATTGCTCTGGTTCTTCTGCTGCTGGGGCCTGGCTGGCATGCACTTGCTCCCTGTAGTGGGCTAGTGGCTGCTGCTGCTGTCTTGAAAGATTCTCTGGTTTGACCTAGTTCTGGTTTTGGGGCACTGACTGGCAATTGGCAACCTGGCTGGCCTGGCACAGGTGGCAGATTGCTCTGGTTGTTTCTTCTGCTGGGCCTGTCTGGCACAATGCACATGCTAGTGCTGCTGCTACTGTAGAGAGATTCTTTGGTTTGAGCTAAGTTGTAGTTTTGGGGTTTTGGGCACCCAGTTTGGTAGCGCAGGTGGGGGGGCACTTGTATGGTTCTGCTGCAGTGTGGCTGGCTGGTCTGGCAATGTACAGTTTGAAATTGCAACACGCAGCACACTCCCCCAAACAGTTTGCCCCCATCCCTCCATTGTTCTCTATGGTGGGAAAAAAATTACATTTTTTCCCACCATAGAGAACAATGGGATGGGGGCAACCTGTTTGGGGGCCCATAGAATTGGACCCCCTGGTCCAATCTTCATGAAACTTGGAGGGTGTGTTGGGGAGAGGTTCTAGTAACCACCCTCCAAGTTTGGAGCCTCCAACTCCAAGGGCCATATGATACAATGTTGCCGAATTGCCGCCGAATTTCGGCGGCAAACCGGGAATAAACTGCAGAAGGCTGATCTGGGGGCAACCTGTTTGGGGGGCCATAAAATTGTACCCCCTTGTCCAATCGCCTTGAAACTTGGTGGGCATGTTGGGAAGAGGTTCCAGTGAGCACCCTCCAAGTTTGGAGCCTCTACCCCAAACCCCCTCCCCCCCAGCCCCCCGAAAAGTTTCAAGAGGATTTTTGCCATTGACTTCAATGGCCCCATTGGTTACAATGGACCCGAATTTTTCGGGATTCCCGAAAATTTTCGGATATCTATGCTTTACCGGTATAGATATTCGGGTTTTTTCGGGTTTCCCGAAAAAATTCGGGTCCAATAAACCCGAATCCGAATTTTACCGAATTTTTTTTTTTGCACATCCCTACAACATACCCGAAAGAGGGTTGTCCAGCCTGCCTCCACTTGAAAACATCCAGCGAAGGAGCATCCACCACCTCCCGAGGCAGACTGTTCCACTGCTCAGTTAGGAAGTTTCTCCTGATATTTAGCCGGTAAGGACTCCCTTGTAATTTCCACCCATTAGACCTAGTCTTGCAACCCCCGGAGCAAGAGAGAATAGATCATCTACATGACAGCCCTTCAAATGCTTGAAGACTGCAACCATGTCCCCTCAAAGCCTTCTCTTTCCCAGGCTAAACAGACCCAACTCTTTCAGCCTTTCCTCCTAAGACTCGGATTCCAACCCTCTCGCCCTCCTGGTGGCCCTCTTCTGGACACGCTCCAGCTTGTCAACATCCTTCCTAAAATGTGGTGCCCAAAACTGGACACAGGACTCCCGGTGAGGCCTGATCATAGCAGGATAGAGCGGAACGGCCACCTCCCGTGATCTGGACACAAGGCTTCTGTTAATGCATCCTAAGACTGCATTAGCTTTCTTCGCAGCCACATCGCACTGCAGGCTCATGTTTAGTTTTTTATCAACCAGAACACCTAGATCCCTTTCACACGTGCGGCTGTCAAGCCAAGTCCCTCCCGTTCTATATCTGTGCCTTTGATTTTTTGTACCTAAGTGTAGGACTTTGCACTTATCTCTACTGAAATTCATTTTATTTGCCTCTGCCCACTGTTCCGGCCTATCTAGATCATTTTGAATCCTGACTCTGTCTTCTTCGGAATTAGCAATCCCACCCGGCTTCGTGTCATCTGCAGATCTGATAAGCATCCCCTCTATGTCTTCCTCCAGGTCATTTATAAAATCATTGAACAACACCGGGCTGAGGGCCGAGCCTTGACATAGAGCTGCCAGCAACTCTCTGGGCATGTAAGATTGGGCCATGAGAAGAAGAAGAAGAGATTGGATTTATACCCCGCCCTTCACTACCTGAAGGAGTCTGAGAGCGGCTTACAAACTCCTTTCCCTTCCCCTCCCCACAACAGACACCCTGTGAGGTGGGTGGGGCTGAGAGAGCTCTGACAGAAACTGCTCTTTCAGGAACAGCTGTGCCAGAGCTTGTGACTGACCCAAGGTCACATCAGCAGGTGCAAATGGAAGAGTGGGGAATCAAACCCGGTTCTCCCAGGTTAGAGTCTGCACACTTAACCACTACACCAAACTGGCTCATCGAGCAAAGCCCTGGCTCATCGATTCCTATGTTAACTACATTTCAATTCCCAGCACTGTGTATTAACCTATCTCGACAGCGACTGATAGCTACGGTGGGGGCTCCGCCCCTTCCTTAAAGTCCCCCCCTTCTTAAAATCTCCCTGCTTCTTCCCAAAAGCATTTAAAGCACGGGTGTTGAGCTCATTTGTTCTGAGGGCCGGATCTGACACAAATGAGACCTTGTCGGGCTGGGCCACGTGTGTCATAAAATGTAATGCCAGGTGGCGGAGATATCAACTTTATAAAGGACACAAACACAAAGGGGCTTTCTTTTCTTTTTTTACTTAAAAGCATGCTACACTAGCACTCTTGCAATATTTTGTTTATTTACCAGTGTCTGATAAGTGACACCTCTTGCTCTGCTTTGGATTGCATCCAAATGTCTGTGCTGATGCAATCTTGAGTATGCTGTTCAGGTGTGTGTCTGTAATCTGCAAACCTACGCTGACGCAGCAGAACTGGAAGAAGAAGAAGAAGACAGCCAGTTCCACTGCAGGCCCAAGAGAAGCCCTCCGGGGCCCTGCTCCGGCCCCCGGGCCGCATGTTTGACACCCCTGATTTAAAGGGATCCTTTAAATGCTTTTGAGAAGTAGCGGGGTGGCGCATGCCCCTCTCACTCCCTCCTGCAAGATTTAAAGGGCAGCTGATTGGTGGGCCATGTGCGCCCCACTGATCAGCTGGGGGCCCCTTTAAATCTTGCAGGAGGAGAGGGAAAGGGGCACATGCCACGCCCCCCTTTATTATGGCAAATAATGGCAGCCTGATCAATAAAATTTTTGTTCCAGAAGCCACAGAATCCTGGCTACAGGCCTGAAATGATGTTCGCACCAGGCAGGCAAGTCACCGTTTGGTCAAAACGCCCTTCACAGACCCCACTCTCCCTATTCCTAATGATCAAAAGCCCACCTCCCCCCAAGGGTATCCTCGGTACGAAGAAGAAGAGATTGGATTTATACCCCGCCCTTCACTGGGAGTCTCAGAGCGGCTTACAAACTCCTTTCCCTTCCCCTCCCCACAACAGACACCCTGTGAGGTGGGTGGGGCTGAGAGAGCTCTGACAGAAACTGCTCTTTTTCAAGAACAGCTCTTATCAGAACTACGGCTTTGCCCAAGGTCATCCAGCCAGGTGCAAGTGGAGGAGTGGGGAATCAAACCCGGTTCTCCCAGATTAGAGTCCACACACTTAACCACTACACCAAACTGGCTCTTGCGAGAGGATATCGGCCCATCGGCCAAGGAACGGGTCCCTTCTAAGGGACATCCTCCTCAGACCGTGATGCCTTCTTACCTGGGGTATTCGTATGCACACACACACCCCCACTGCCCTGGCCAATAAGTCACGCTCCCGCCCGCGGGAGAAGGAGCTCAGGCCGTTAGCGCTGAATCACCCACTACCAAAAGCCCACCTCCCCCCAAGGGTATCCTCGGTACGAGAGGATATCGGCCCAGGAACGGGTCCCTTCTAAGGGATCATATCCTCAGACCGTGATGCCTTCTGACCTCGGGTATTCGTATGCACCCCCCCCCCACTGCCCTGGCCAATAAGTCACATTCCCACGCACGGGAGAAGGCGCTCAGGCCGTTAGTGCTGAATCACCCACTACCAAAAGCCCACCTCCCCCCAAGGGTATCCTCGGTACGAGAGGATATCAGCCCAGGAACGGGTCCCTTCTAAGGGATCATATCCTCCTCAGACCGTGATGCCTTCTGACCTCGGGTATTCGTATGCACCCCCCCCACACTGCCCTGGCCAATAAGTCACGCTCCCGCACGCGGGAGAAGGAGCTCAGGCCGTTAGCAGTGAAGCTGGGAACCACCGCGCTCCCACGGGTCCCTGGAAGCTAGACATCACACCACCTGCACAACTTAGAGATAAGAGTTACAGCAGCTACGAAGCACAGAAGGAATGCAGTGGCAATTGGTATTCAACTGATCTCCCCAACCCCCAGGGCAGCATAGCTGACAAGTACTCCGGTTAGTCCCCGAGGGCCTCTTCCACTCTGCCCATTCTAAAACAGCACGCTTCCAAGTCGCTCTTTTTAAACAGACGTTTATTAGTTTTATTTAGGCTTTTAATATATTTTAACTTTAAAAAAAAACATTTTGGTCTGAAGATAAGGTTTACTGGTCCTTGTGTACCGCCCCACCCCCCTGCACACAAGCCCTTGGTGGCTAGGTTGGGAAAAACATGCATTCGCCATCTGCTCCCGCCAGGTAGGGGCCCGTCCTCCTACCGGGCCCCCGTTTGGGTTTCCTCTCTGGGTTTGCGGAAGTCCTAACTAATAAATTAAGGGGGGGGATTGCGCTTCGGAGCTCGGACGAGCGAGGCACGAAGAGGAGGCTAAACTCGCGTGGGGCCCGCAGTCCTGTCCGAGTAATGGCAGAACCCCCCCCACTCCCCGCAAAAAGCTATTGAGGAAGGGGAAGGCGCAACCATCCACGGATCAGAACCACAGAATCCGTTTTAACTCTAAGAGGCCGTGCGTGGTTTATTCTTTTCCCCCAGCAACGAAAATGGGAGGGGATGAAAATGAGAGAAGTGTATGTGGATCGTCTGTGTGTGTAGTAGTGTATGTTTTGTACGGGAGGGCCGCTAAGAAGGTGTGCATCCATACAGTGGGGGGGGGCACGCGGTTGTACATGCTAAATGGGACACTGCAAATTATCTCACAGCCTCAAATGTGACCTCCGATGCATGGACTCCCCTGAAACCGGGCAGCGGGAAGGTACCGCTCTAGTTCTCCAATGTATTTATTTATTGGGAAAATAGATACCTACGTACAGTTGTTCCATGAGAAGGCATCAAGCCCGAACTTGGGAGCAGGGTGGAGAAAAAGGGCCTTTCGGGCATTCAGTAATATCTATCCCAATGAGTTTCGGAACATCTAAAGAATATTCTGGATTTTTTATTTTTTTTGCAAACAAAAAATTATTTTCCCCAGAGAAATATATATATATAGCATGACCTCTCCACCTTCAAGGATTTAAGAGGCTTTGAGACTAGAACAAGGGGGCAAGGTCCAACTCGCACGCATCCCCCCATTAAAAAAAACAACAAACTAGCAGATCTGAGACGGTGTATACCGCTTGTGTAAGTTCAAGCGCAATGAGTTGCCGCTCTAGGGCCAGGAAGTGGGGAATAAGAGTGCTACTCTCGTGTAAACCCCATGCCTAACCCTCCCCCAAGTCAGCCAAAGCTGAATGGGGGAAGCCTTCAGACTAAGGAGCGAGCCCGACAGAGAATGACAGGTACATCCCAAACTCTTCTCCCTCGCCTGACCCAAAGCTTTTGGCACAGAAAGAAAAAAAAAAGGAAGCATCGGTGAGGATCGGTGACTTGTGAGGGGGAGTTGTGTCATTTAAGGGGTTGTCACGAGAACAGAGAATCAAAAAGAATGGGTGTGTGCAAGGGGGTGTGTGTGTGTTACTTATAGCACAGTGTTTCCTTTCTCATAGCTTTTGGGTCAGCATGAGCGAATTTGTCGTTGAGGAGAAAGGAGAGGGAAAAACAAAAAGGCAACAGTCTCGGGGTCACATTTACCCCAGGTTTTTTATCTTTAAGGCAGTTTGGTGAAGGACCGAGGGCCAGAGAAAAAGGCCGTCCATCTCCCCCTCCCCCCGAAGAACCCAACTTTCCAGTTGCCGCCCCTGTCTGAGCGGCTTTATCTCTCCTAAAGAAATTGCAAGACGGCGGGAGGGTCCGAGCCCCTTCCTGTCTCAGTGCGACACGAGATCCCCCCCCCCCACGGCCACCAACATTTGAGGAAGGGGGGTCACAGACATCGGAGAAGGGAGGGCCCCCTTCAGCTCTCGGTGGAATTAAGTTCGCCTGGCGGAAAAGTTTTCGGTATGGCCTCGAAATTCTCAGATTGCAGCAGAACGATGGGCCAGCCGGAGCAGGTGAAGGGATCAGTCGGCTTTCCGGTGGTTATTGTTCAAGAGGGGGTGCCCGTTGCTAAGCGGACCGTTCTTTGTGCTGTGCCCTGTCGTGGCCCCCACCTTCTCCTCCTCCTCCTCTTCCGTGCTATCGGTTTCATCATGGTCACTGCGTTCATCTTTCACTACCTGTAGGGAAGGGGGGGGGGGGGGAAGAAATCAAGAAACAGGAAGTGACCAAGAGACCATCTAGTCCAACTTCCTAAGAAATCAAAAAGAGAAATAAGGCCTCGTCTGCTTACAGGAAGTTCTAACCATAGAGCTGATGATTCTTTAGAACTACACGGCAGTGGCAACGGTAGCTCTAGGAATCGCCAGAGACTATGGTCAGCACTTCCTGTAAGCAGACAAAACCTTATTTTTCTTTTAAAATTTTCCTCCCCAGGATGATCCCCCCCCCCCACCCCCGGTTAGGCCCCCGTTTCTGCCCGCCAATCGGGTGACCCATCTGCAGCCAAGGGCCACAAATATCTGGAGGTTTCTCGCCATGTGGGCAAATGAGAACCCTACTACCAAGAGATGGACACTATCCAGGCCACGGCGGGCAGCAAACAACCAAAGCAGAGCAAGTGAGGAAGACTTAAGAGTTGCTGCACAAAATCTGGAACAGTTTCGTTCACAAATATTCGGTGGCTTTGCTGAGATTCAACAGACCATGACTCCAGGACTGGCAAGAGATGGCCTTTCACTGCCAACCAGAGAATCATCACTAATCGCCAAAACACAACGAGCATACACAGAGTGCATTCTACTTTGGAGGTGAAGATCTCACACTCAGAACTGGGCTGACAAAACAGAGGAGCGAATTGGTAAAACATTATGGTTCTGCTGGATTCGGTCCGGTTCCATCTAAGGGTGCATTACCCCTTGAGCATACTAGGGATTATAATATTAAACTTAGCTGAGCCTCCAGTGGAACAGGGAAGTACCACACATGCAGCTAGGAGTCACTGTAGTACTAATAGCACCACCAATACAGGGGGGCCTCGATTAAATCGATGGGCGGGCAAATTCAGGACAGACAAAAGGGAGGCGCTTCTTGACTCAATGGGTAATTGAGTTGTAAGATTCTCTGCCAGTGGAGGAAGTGATGGCCAAGAGCATAAAGGTAAGAGGTAAAGGCTTCCCGTGCTCAAAAGCCAGCCAAATCCGACTCGGGGGTGTGTGTGGTGCTCATCTCCGTTTCCAAGCCAAAGAGCCAGCGCTGTCCGAAGACGTTTCCATGGTCGTGTGGCCGGCATGACTAGACGCCGAGGCGCACGGAACGCTGTTCCCTTCCCACCAAAGCGGTACCTATTTATCTACTTGCAATGTCTCCCTTTCGAACCGCTAGGTTGGCAGGAGCTGGGACCAGAGACAGGAGCTCCCTCCGTCACGCGGCACACTCGGGTCTCGAACTACCGAGCTACAGACCTTCCGGTCTGCAGCTCAGCGTCTTAACCTCTAAGCCACCGCGGCCAAGAGCATAAATGGCCTTAAAAGAGAATTTGACAGATTAATGAAGGGGAGAGTGAAGAGACACAGTGAGTGAAGAGAGCCTCCATCTACAGATTGAGGGGAGCCACGTTGGTCTGCAGGGGGGATGGAGCTTCCTTTCTGGGATCTTCTGGTGCTTGCACACCGCGATGACGTCACCCGGAAGTGAATCCATTGTGCTAGGCACGTCACTGGGAGGGGGGGGGCTCTAGCATTCAGCCAGAAACTCTATGGTACCATAGGGTTTTTTGGCTGAGTACTAGAGCCCTCCCCCCCCCCAGTGACATGCCCAGCACGATGACATTAGAACGGGTTAGAACGGATAAAAGGAAGTCTTTCTTCACCCAAAGAGTGATTGACACGTGGAATTCACTGCCACAGGAGGTGGTGGCGGCTACAAGCATGGACGGCTTCAAAAGGGAATTAGATAGGCATATGGAGCAGAGGTCCATCAGTGGCTATTAGCCACAAGGTATAGATAGGGGCTCTGGGGCAAGTGATGCTCTGTCTTCTTGGTGCTTGGGGGGGGGGTCAACAGAGAAGAAGAAGAAGAGAAGAGATTGAATTTATACCCCGCCCTTCACTTGGAGTCTCAGAGTGGCTTACAAACTCCTTTCCCTTCCCCTCCCCACGACAGACACCCTGTGAGGTGGGTGGGGCTGAGAGAGCTCTGACACAAACTGCTCTTTTTCAAGGACAGCTGTGCCAGAGCTTGTGGCTGACCCAAGGTCACATCAGCAGGTGCAAGTGGAGGAGTGGGGAATCAAACCCGGTTCTCCCAGATTAGAGTCCGTGCACTTAACCACTACACCAAACAGAGGGAGGGCTCCTAGTGTCCTGGCCCCACTGCTGGACCTCCTGATGGCACCTGGTATTTTTTGGCCACTGTGTGACACAGAGTGTTGGACTGGATGGGCCTTTGGCCTGATCCAACATTGGCGTCTCTTATGTTCTTATGACGTCACCACTAGACGACGTCATCGCGCCACGCACATTGGTGTGATCCCGGGTTGGTGGATTGGGGGCCCCTAAACCGGGTAAACCCCAGCCCCCGGCGGGGGAATGGCAACCCTAGATTCGAGTCCTGTAGCACCTTCGACACCAACGAAATTTTCGGGCTGTGTGCTCTTAAGAGAAAAAGCTCCCTTCGTCACATACCATGTGACCAAGCTAGTTCCAGAGGGTAGACATGTTGTTCCACAGTGGAAGAGCTGGATTTGAGTCTAGCGGCAGCTTAGCAACCATAAAATCTTGTTGGTGTCTAAGGTGTTACTGGACGCAGACCTGGCCATCTGACAAAGAGATCTTTGACTCCTGAAAGCTTACACTCTGAAGACCTTCTTGGTCTTTAAGATGCTACTGGACTTGAATCTAGTCAACCCCTGAAACCCAGAGCCAGAAGGCAGTGTCAGGGGAAGTCCTACTTGTGGGCCCTACAAGGCAACTGGTTGGCCACTGTGTGGGACAGGATGCTGGACTGGATGGACCCTCACTGGGCTGATCCAGCAGGGCTCTTCTGATGTCCTTCTCAGGGGAAGGCCTCGGCCTCTCTGCCCTGTTGTTGGCCCTGCAGAGGAACTGGCTGGCCCCTGTGTGAGACGGGAGGCTGGACTAGATGGACCCTCCCTGGTCTGATCCAGCAGGGCTCTTCTGATGTTCTTGTGGAGGCCTCGGCCTCTCTGCCCTGTTGTGGGCCCTCCAGAGGAACTGGTTGGCCCCTGTGTGAGACAGGAGGCTGGACTGGATGGACCCTCACTGGTCTGACCCAGCAGGGCTCTTCTGATGTTCTTCTCAGAGGAAGGCCTCGGCCTCTCTGCCCTGTTGTTGGCCCTGCAGAGGAACTGGCTGGCCACTTTGTGAGACGGGAGGCTGGACTAGAGGGACCCTCACTGGTCTGACCCAGCAGGGCTCTTCCAATGTCCTTCTCAGGGGAAGGCCTCGGCCTCTCTGCCCTGTTGCTGGCCCTCCAGAGGAGAAACTGGTTGGCCACTGTGTGAGGCAAGATGCTGGACTAGATGGACCCTCACTGGTCTGACCCAGCAGGGCTCTTCTGATGTTCTTCTCTCTGGTGGCCTCTTGGCTGCTACTGGGTCTGTTCAAATAGTCTAATTATTATTAATTACATTATTTATAATCTGCCTTTCCCATGGAGACTCATGGTGGATTACTGAGTGTTAAGTCAATACAATCAAAAGGATGGGTTATTCAATAAACCAGGAGTCCCTAACCCTTTTGAGCCTGTGGGCACCTTTGGAATTCTGGCAGAGCGTGGTGGGCGTGATCACAAAATGGCTGCCACAGAGGGTAGTGCACAACAGAAAATGGCTGCCTCCGGAGGCAAAGCCACACAGCGGAAACCGCTGTGAATACACTGGGAAAGAGGAAAAGAAGCAGACTAACAAATCTTGTGAAAGGGGACGAGCTTTCGTGAGTCACGGCTCACTTCTTCAGATACCAAAGGAAAGAAGAAGAAGAGATTGACTTTATACCCCACCCTTCACTACCCAGAGGAGTCTCCGAGGGGCTTACAAACTCCTTTCCCTTCCCCTCCCCACAACAGACACCCTGTGAGGTAGGTGGGGCTGAGAGAGCTCTGACAGAAACTGCCCTTGAGAGAACAGCTCTGAGAGAACTTGTGACTGACCCAAAGTCACCCAGCTGGCTTCATTTGGAGGAGTGGGGAATCAAAGCCAGTTCTCCCAGAATAGAATCTGCGCTCCTAACAACTACGCCAAACTGGCTACACTACACCAAATTGGAAGAGGGAGGAGGAGGAGATTGGATTTATACCCCGCCCTTCACTACCCAAAGGTGTCTCGGAGCGGCACACAAACTCCTTTCCCTTCCCCTCCCCACAACAGACACCCTGTGAGCAATGTTCCCTCTAAGCTGTAGAGTCTTGTGAATAAAAATTCTACTTTGTGAGCTACTGGCATTAAAGGTGTGAGTGAGTGACTCGCCTACTGCATAGATTAGTTTGCTCTGGAGCCATCCTTCCTGAGCGAAGACAAAAACGTGTGAGCCAGAGGCTAAAAAACTGTGAGCCAGCTCACACTAACTCAGCTTAGAGGGAACAGTGCCTGTGAGGTGGGTGGAGCTGAGAGAGCTCTTGACAGAAACGGCTCTTTTTCAAGAACAGCTCACATCAGAACTGTGGCTTGCCCAAGGCCATCCAGCCAGGTGCGAGTGGAGGCGTGGGGAATCAAACCCGGTTCTCCCAGATTAGAGTCCGCGCACTTAACCCCGAGACCAAACTGGCTCTGAAGAGGAGAGAGAGAATAAAACCGACACTGTGGTGGCAGCCGCCACTGAAACAATGTTGTTTTAATATCACCAGCCAATCACCGGCCAGTGCCCCACCCGCTTTCTAAACACACTTGGTGGGAGCCACGGTGCCTATGGACCCCCTGCGATAAGCTCGGCTGAAATCTGCTCCCACTTCTCTCCTGAACACGGTCACATCCCAAGGCAGTACGGAGGCTGTCGGGGGGGGAGTCCCCCTCTTTTATATCTTGGACAGGCGGGGGCAAAGGCAAGGGTTTAAGCTCTCCCTCCCCTTTTCCTTTATCCCAGAGATACAGGACCGTTTTTAAAAAATAAAATAAATCCAGCTTACGTTTCCAGTTATGAATTTGTGAGCCATGCGCAGGATGTAGTACGCCCAAAATATGTGCAGGCATTGAAGGGTGATCATCATGGAGTTGAAGAAATAGTAGCCGAAGAAGGGAGGGTACATATACAAGGGGTAGATCACCGTACAGTGCAGGATCCTGGTCGATAGAGAGGAGGGAGTAGCAATTATCTTTCATGTTTGGAAAAATCCGCCCCTACCAGTGCAGGCGGGAAAATGGTCAGCTTTGCCAGAGAGAGAGAGAGAGATATATATATTGGATTTACACCCCGCCCTTCACTACCCAAAGGAGTCTCCGAGGGGCTTACAAACTCCTTTCCCTCCCCACAACAGACCCCCTGTGAGGTGGGCGGGGCTGAGAGAGCTCTGACACAAAAGGCTCTTTTTCAAGAACAGCTCTTATCAGAACTATGGCTTGCCCAAGGTCATCCAGCCAGGTGCAAGTGGAGGAGTGGGGAATCAAACCCGGTTCTCCCAGATTAGAGTCCGGACACTTCACCACGACACCAAACTGGTGTATGCATCATTACAAGGAAAGCTTGTGGAAATTATGGGGCGCTGTTGCATTGCTGGTGGTGATGTAAAATAGTCCCAAAAAAGAGAAAAGTCGGGACCAGATTATACGTCATATATGGCTCACCACTAATTATAAGATACCTAACACTCCTGAACCGATTCCTTTTGGATTTGTGGCAAAACCCAGCAATGCCTAAAATACGACAAGAGCTAATTACTATATTCTTGGTGCTTGGGGGGGGGGCAATAGTAGGAGGGCTCCTAGTGTCCTGGCCCCACTGCTGGACCTCCTGATGGCCCCTGGTATTTCTGGCCACTGTGTGACCCAGAGTGTTGGACCGGATGGGCCATTGGCCTGATCCAACATTGGCTTCTCTGATGTTCTTATGGATAAACATTTGGAGCAGAGGTCCATCCGTGGCTATTAGCCACAAGGTATAGATAGGCGGGGGGGGAAATTGCCTCCTTTTTTTTTTGGGGCGGGGGGGGGGGGGGGCAACAGCGGGAGGGCTTCTGGAGTTCCGGCCCCACTGCTGGAACCAGAGGATTTATTCTCTGGTTAGTAACATCTGAGCTGAACAGTACGGCGGTCAGTTCTAGCCCCGTGTTGGTGTGAGCTACCAGCTTTGTCCCTAGCTCACCGTCCATCCAGCGGTTCGAAAGCTTCGGTGAGTAGTTAAAATGGGTACCACTCCTTAGAGAGGGTGGGCACACCAAAACCCCCCCCCCCGGGGGGGGGGGGTTAGCTGGCGACCGGAATGCTCAGCTCGCAAGATTGAAATATCTTCGACCCCGAGAAGCCTGTAATGGGCCGTTCCGCCCAGGTGGTGGCAGTGCGGCACTGCAAGACCTGGAGAAGCTGACGTCATCTAGCCGAGCCGAAGTGAATATGCCGATGGAACACGTCTGAATCTGCAGCTGAACAAACCCTTGCCGACTGTGAATGTGTGTGATTTAAAAGATATATGTTGTCCTCCCTTACCCCCATAAATCATTGTTAGTCCCGCATGAATGAGTAACTGTAGATCGCTCAGAGCCGGCAAGCTCTGCAGGATTGAGCGATTAATAAATTGAAAGATTATTATTAGTAGTATTATTAACATCTGAAATATCTGGGATGTGGTAATTCATCTTGAATATGAGCCATCTAAGTTAAGCTTTTAACTGTCGCCACACCTTGAGTTTGTAATTTATCTGTTGTGTTTTAAATGATTGTATGATTTTAATTGTATTTATGTTTGTAATGGAAGCCGCCATAAGCCTGCTTTGCGGGGAGGGCGGGGTATAAGTCTGATAACTAAATAATAATAATAATAATAATAATAATAATAATAATATTTCTAGGTGGAAGGCTTCTCTCAGGCCCGCAGTGGAACTGGCTATCTTCTGCTTCCTCTTCCAGTTCTGCTGCTGCTGCGTCATCGTAGGGTGATTTACATTAAAACAGATAAAATACAACCAGCATATGATAAAAATATTACAGTGCACGAATAAAGCAACCAATCCAGATGTGCGATCAACCCTTTTTGCCAGCTGCCACCCTCTCTGTGCAGCGGGGCGGGGGAAGGGAACGCAGAAGAAGACCTGGATTGAGTCCAGACGCACCTCAGAGACCAAGAAGATCTTCGGAGGTATGAGCTTTCAAGACTGGTCAGTCTCAAAGCTGCGTCTGGACTTGAATTTAACAATTCCTACAACAGAAACATGTCAAGTGAAAACTTCTGCTGTTATCCTCAGATTCATTTGCTGGAGAAACGATGACGCAGGAGGTTATTCTCAATTACTAATAAAGGGAAAAGATATATGTCCGTTGGTTATAGATCGAGATGGGCAGGGCCGTGTTGGTCTGTAGCGGTAGAAAAAAGCAAGACCCCAGTAGCCCCTTAAAGACTAACAAAATATGTGGCAGGGGAGGAGCTCTCATGAGTCACGGCTCACTGCTTCAGCTCTTACTCTGCCACAAATTTGGTTAGCCTTCGAGGTGCTCCTGGACTCTGGCTCTTTTCTACTTCTACAGGCAGACTCACACGGCGAACTCATCTTGATCTATCCGAAGAAGTGAGCGGCGACTAGCCCAAGGTGGCAAATGGATCTTCAGGGCAGTGCCGGGATCTGAACCCGGGTCTCGCAGGTCCCAATCCGCCGCTCCAACTGCTACCCCACACAGCCTGGCCCGCTGGAACAGGCCTTCACGGCAAGCTTGGGAGACGTACATTTGCTAGCACCCGCACTTACAAGTTTGCTACCACTCCCCACCACTCAAACATAAGAACCTCTCACCAGAAGGGAAAGATGATGAGCCGGGAAATGATGAAGACCACAGAAAAGACGATGAAAAGATAGTTGCAAGTGTTCTTCCAGCCGGCGTAGTTAAACATCTTCGCGGACTGCCAAGAGAGAGGGAGAGAGGGGATTTTAAAATGATGCACGGGGTGGAGAGAGTTGACCAAGAGGATTTTTTCTCCCTCTCCCAAAAGACCTGAACACAAGGGGATCCAATGAAGCTGACGGGCAGTAGGATCAAGATGGACAAAAGGAAATACTACTTTACACAGAGAGTGATTAAAATGTGGAATTCGCTGCCAGAGGGTGTAGTGATGCCCACTGGAACAGACACCTTTAAAAAAGGATAGATTCATGGAAGATAAGTCTATCAGTGGCTAGCAGCCATGGTGGCTGAGGGGAACCTCCACATTCAGTGGCAGTCAACCTCTCAGTCCCAGAGCCAGGAGGAAACATCAGGGGAAGGCCTTGGCCTCTATGCCCTGTATTTGGCCCCCCCACCCCCCGGAGGAACTGGTTGGCCACTGTGTGAGAGTAGACTGGATGGACCACTGGTCTGATCCAGCAGGGCTCTTCTGATGTTCGTCTCAGGGGAAGGCCTCGGCCTCTCTGCCCTGTTGCTGGCCCTCCAGAGGAACTGGTTGGCCTCTGTGTGAGACAGGATGCTGGACTAGAGGGACCCTCAGTGGTCTGATCCAGCAGGGCTCTTCTGAGGTTCTTCTCAGGGGAAGGCCTCGGTCTCTCTGCCCTGTTGTTGGCCCTCCAGAGGAGCTGGCTGGCCTCTGTGTGAGACAGGATGCTGGACTAGAGGGACCCTCCCTGGTCTGATCCAGCAGGGCTCTTCTGAGGTTCTTCTCAGCGGAAGGCCTCAGCCTCTCTGCCCTGTGGATGGCCCTCCAGAGGAACTGGTTGGCCACTGTGTGAGACGGGAGGCTGGACTAGGTGGACCCTCACTGGTCTGACCCAGCAGGGCTCTTCTGAGGTTCTTCTCAGGGGAAGGCCTCGGCCTCTCTGCCCTGTTGCTGGCCCTCCAGAGGAACTGGTTGAGGCCACTGCTATGAGACAGGAGGCTGGACTGGATGGACCCTCCCTGGTCTGATCCAGCAGGGCTCTTCTGAGGTTCGGGGGGGGGCACAAAAAAATCAGTGGCACAGCCAGGGTTGGTTCTGTGCCCAAGGTACTGTGCCCCCCCCACTGACCGCTTATTTTTATTTATTTATTGAATTTATGAGCCGCCCTCCCCAGCAGGACTGAGCTCAGGGCAGTGTACAACTTATGTCAGCTAAAACATCACATTAAACAAGTTACGATCAGGCTAAGACAGTAAAACGCCAGAACCAACCCAATCGATCGAGTAGTCTAATTCCCAAGAGATGGCGCTGAAATCCTAACAGCGCCTTGTCTCATGGGCGGACGGGGGGGGGGAGGGGAGGACAGGAGTGCCCAGACGGAACCATCGCTCAACACAGTGCAACGAGACTGCCAGTGCTCAGCAGTGGTTCGCCTCACTCCCAGCCATCAGCGGCACAGGAAGGAAGTGACGTCACCCTTCCAGGCTTGCGCCGTGGCCACATTGTCAGCCCCCGTGAGCACAAATTGCTGGCAGTCACCAGAACCTGCAACCAGCCTCAGGTACAGCATGGAGAACAAGGGATTGGATTTATACCCTTCTTTTCACTACCCAAAAGAGTCTCAGAGTGCCTTACAATCCCCTTTCCCTTTTCTCCCCACAACAAGACACCCTGTGAGGCAGGCGGGGCTGAGAGAGCTCCTTCGAGAACTGCCCTTGAGAGAACAGCTCTGAGAGAACTTGTGACTGACCCAAAGTCACACTGGCAGCACCGTGGGGAGAAGTGGGGAATCAAACCCAGTTCTCCTAGATTAGAGTCTGCGCTCCTAACCCCTACACCAAACTGGCTCTCAGAGAGCCCAGACAGTAGAGATACAGAGAGAAGAAGAAGAGATTGGATTTATACCCCGCCCTTCACTACCCAAAGTGTCTCAGAGCGGCTTACAGACTCATTTCCCTTCCCCTCCCCACAACAGACACCCTGTGAAGTGGGTGGGGCTGAGAGAGCTCTGACAGAAACTGTTCTTTTTCAAGAACAGCTCTTACCAGAACTATGGCTTGCCCAAGGTCATCCAGCAGGTGCAAGTGGAGGAGGAGGTGGAAGGAGGAGGAGGAGATTGGGTTTATACCCTGCCCTTCACTTGAACTGTTCTTTTTCAAGAACAGCTCTTATCAGAACTATGGCTTGCCCAAGGTCATCCAGCAGGTGCAAGTGGAGGAGGAGGTGGAAGGAGGAGGAGGAGATTGGGTTTATACCCTGCCCTTCACTTGGGAGTCTCAGGGTGACTTACAATCTCCTTTCCCTTCCCCTCCCCACAGCAGACACCCTGTGAGGTAGGCGGGCTGAGAGAGCTCTTGACAGAAACGACTCTTTTTCAAGAACAGCTCTTATCAGAACTATGGCTTGCCCAAGGTCATCCAGCAGGTGCAAGTGGAGGAGGAGGTTGTAGGAGGAGGAGGAGATTGGGTTTATACCCCGCCCTTCACTACCCGAAGGAGTCTCAGAGTGGCTTACAAACTCCTTTCCCTTCCCCTCCCCACAACAGACACCCTGTGAGGTGGGTGGGGCTGAGAGAGCTCTGCCAGAAACTGCTCTTTTTCAAGAACATCTCTGACAGAACTATGGCTTGCCCAAGGTCATCCAGACAGGTGCAAGTGGACGCGTGGGGAATCAAACCCGGTTCTCCCAGATTAGAGTCCGCACACTTCACCACGACACCAAACTGGCTCACCTATACCAAACTGGTGTGCAGAGAGGTACAGAGAGCCCAAACAGTAGGAGTTAGCCCTGAATTTTTGGGAACTCCCCCAACTCAGACACCACCCCAGCCACCCACTCCCATATCATCCAAGGAAATGCCCGTCTCTCCTTGGCATTTTACTATACGAAAAAGCCTGGGCGAGTTCGGAAGGGCCTCAGAACGAGAAAATTCGCCCTCTCGGTTTGAGTGCTGGGATTCTCGTCTTTACAGAGGGAACCCCCAAACCGTAGTTATGACACAAGGACCAGAGGGGGACTGGGAGGGGGGAATCCCTCACCTCTAGTAGGTAATCCGAGGCATCGTGCAAAGCCATGACCAGAGTCCCTGCCCGGATGTAGTTCGTGTACCAGGAGAAGGTAATCAGAATGAGGGTGGCCACGTGGTGGATGATCTGCTCCGTGAAATCCTACGGGAAACAAAGATAATCTTTTCTAACGGAAATGCAGGGAGAGCGATCCTGAGACGCATGGAGCTACCCTCTGTCCTCTTTTTGCACTACGGTCATATGAATACCAATAACTTTGTTATGAGTTTATCATTGTTTTAACGGCAACCAGGGGTTATTTTGTAGAAAAAGAGGTGCAGGAGCTCATTAGCATAACTCATTAGCATAACTTATTTGCCTAGGCCACGCCCCCTGACATCACCGGAGGTGTGTCAGAAGGCAACACCCACCGCTCAGGCTCCACTGGACTGTTTTGGATTGCTAGCTATTGGGGGGGGGGGAAACGTGCATATCTGTCCTCGCAGAGGAGGGAGAGCTTGTACCTGAATAAAACCTGGTCTTCAAAGTGCCCCTGGACTGTTTTAGACTGGGGGCCGTGGGAGCTCTGCAACTTACCTGGCTGCTTCTTGCTCTGACTGAGGGCTGCTGGGAGCAGGGGGTGGGGCTTGTTGCATGTGCCCGCCCCCTGGGCTCTTTACTGCCGGAGCTCTGCTCCTGTGCGCTCCCGCAGGAAATGACCCCTGGTACTGTTAATAAAGTTTCTATTTTAGAGCAGTTTAGGGCTACATAGCGTTTATGCTCCCTTCTACTAGCTTCCAAGATCTGGCAAGATGGGACTAGCCCGAGCTATCCAAGTTAGGGCCTGTCCTTTCTACCTGGGTGAAAAGGAATATTGCGCATGTGAGATACCACCCACAAAAAGATGTGTCATTTTCTTATTTTACTTTTCTGCCAAAGGGCATGAGCCCAGAAGACACGGAAAGAAGAATCTATTCACCAAACAGCCAGTAGTTATCCAAATGAGTCGATTAAATTTAAAATTGTCCAAGTCGATGTTTTAATTAATTGTCCCTTTAAATTAACGTATGGTTTCATTGTTGGATGAGCCCGCCCTGAGCGCACTCATGCGGTAGGGCGGGATAGGTAAAGGTAAAGGTTCCCTTGCTCAAAAGCCAGTCAAATCCAACTCTAGGTTTGCGGTGCTCATCTCCGTTTCAAAGCCGAAGAGCCAGCGCTGTCCGAAGACATTTCCGTGGTCATGTGGCCGGCATGACTAAACACCAAGGTGCACGGAACGCTGTTCCCTTCCCACCGAAGTGGTACCTATTTATCTACTTGCAATTTCTTGCTTTTGAACTGCTAGGTTGGCAGGAGCTGGGACCAAGGCTCCCTCTAAGCTGTGGAGTCCTGTGAGCAAAAATTCTACTTGGTGAGCTCCTGGCATTAAAGTTGTGAGCGAGCAGTTTGGCTGCTCCGTGAGTTAGTTTGCTCTGAGCATGAATTCGTTTGCTCTGAAGCCCTCCTGCCTGAGCTAAGACAAAAATCTGTGAGCCGGAGGCTAAAAAACAGTGAGCTAGCTCACACTAACTCAGCTTAGAGGGAACACTGGCTGGGACCAAAGATGGGAGCTCACTCCGTCATGCGGCACACTCGGGTCTCGGACTGCTGAACGACCGACCTTCCACAGCCTGCAGTTCAGTGTCTTAACCACTTGAGCCACCGCAGCTCCAGGGCAGGATAAAAGACCCCAAAATAAACAGATAAATGAGAACTTCCTAAACTATTATTTCAAGCCAGCTTTCCCATCACTCATTGCAATGCACAGATACCAACTATAGACGAAGGGCCCAGCGAGATCTGATGGGGTCCTCACAGTTGCCAGGGGATGCTGCCCCCATTTCAAAAGTTACAAGGGCCATGGTTTTTAACATATCATTATATGGGTATCGTCGGATATACAATGTTATTGAGTCTGATTTTCCAGCTTATTGCCTAACCGTGCATATACTCTAGACCAGTGGTGGCGAACCTATGGCACAGGGGCCAGAGGTGGCACTCAGAGCCCTCTCTGTGGGCACGCGTGCCATCGCCCCAGCCAGGCCCAGAACGTCATTAAAGTGTCGAATTCTCTGCCAAATAATTTTACGTCAACGAAAGCATTTGGGATTGCTTTCCTTACTTTGTTTGGATCATCTTAAGTTCATGTATGAGTTGTTTTTTCTAAAGTAAAACCTCAGTATTCAGGTTAAATGGCCGTGTGGGCACTTTGAGATAGGTAAGTGGGTTTTGGGTCGCAGTTTGGGCACTTGGTCTCTAGAAGGTTTGCCATCACTGCTCTAGACCATCTTTTGGAATACAATTCTTCATCCTTTCCTTGTAATATAATATTCAGTCTGTCCATTTCGGCTATTTCTAACAATGTCTGTATTAAATCTTCTCTTGAAGGAGTTTTATCTGATTTCCAGCATTTAGCAAGTAATATTTTGGCAGATGTTAGCATATAAATATATAGAAATCTTTTTTTTTAACAACTGTCTGGTAGCATATTTCATTAAAAGATTTCTAGTGTTAAAGGTAAATCTATATTCAGTATTTCCCTTATTATTTTACTAGGAAAAGGCCCATTGTGGAAATAAATACAGCGGCCTCTAGAAAGAGGCTCTGGGCGGGTGCCCCGGCCTTGGACACTCATTGTCAATTTGCTGTGGCGACCTCAGCAGGGTATAATCAAACTGAGTCCACCATTTTCTCCAGAGGAACTGATCTCTGCTACCTAAAGAACAGTTGTAGTTTTGAGTGATCTCCAGCCCTCACCTGGAGATTGGCAACGATGGTTCCCCAGAAGGGAATGGTTGGTTTGGAGGGTGGAGTCTGTGGCTTTGTCCCACACCTCCTGAAACCTCACCCTCTCCAGGCTCCATCCCTCACATCTCCAGGAATTTCCCACCTGGAGTTGGCAACCCTATCTCCTTCCCAGCCAATCATCAACCTACCTTTATTTCCCCCTCACTCTTCAGCTTTCCACCCCCCACACCCCTGCAGCCTCTTCCCCTGCTCTGAAGCCCTGACTGCTACGTCACACCTCAGCAGCATATAAGGATACAGAGCCCACCATTTTCTCCAGGGGAACTGATCTCTGCCGTCTGGAAAGCAGTTGTAATTCTGAGTGATCTCCAGCCCTCACCTGGAGATTGGACACATTTTACCTCATAAGAGCAAACTGTTTAGAATGTTAGAGGCAAAAGCCAATCAAGTCGCATATGCAAACGACCTCTGTGTTCCGAGGCAGAGGCCAATGAAGCTGCATATGCAAATAACCTCTGTGTTCTGACTGGCTGGGGGGGGGGAGAGGATTAGCAAAATGTTTAGAATGTTGGAGGAAGGACTCAGGCAAAGCAGCCAGTGGAGACCCTCTGAATGACAGATCAGAGAGCGAACTGATTTTGGAGCGTGTGGAATGTTCTAGAGAAGTGCCACCACCTTTTGGCTATTATTTATAAGGGAGATATACTCTAAGCCAAAAGTTTTTGAATTATTCCAGTCCTGATCAAGTCCGCAGCGCAGGAGTTCGAGGCACTCTCTTCCCTCCCCCCACCTTATTAAGCGCCCAAATGGCTGCACTGTCCCCCCTCCTGGCGGCTGTTTTTGTGCTTGAGAAGGTGCTGGGGAAGAAGAATAACACCGGGCAGCCGGCCCAATTAGGATCGGGGCCCCGCAGCATTTCTAAATCACTTTAAAACGACAGCAGCATCCGCATGGCAGCCGCCAGAACAGCGGCGCGTCTATCTGGCCCTGACTCGGTAAACATCTAAAAGATTAAAAAGCAAATATCTTCATGCAGCCCGTGGGATGAATCAAAATTCAAAATCAATCAAAATTCTCGGCTAAGAGCGGATTGAAAAGCAGCGACAAGCCTCTTTGAGCAAAAGGGGGGGGGATCCACGTTCCGAATCCGATTCTCGCCCAGCTCCAATTGCATTTAGCGAAACCCGATGCCAATCGAGTCGCTCCTCGTAAGCTACGGGGCTGGAGGCTAGATGCTTTCCCATGACGCGAGCCGCTTGCTGCCCAGGCAAGGGGGAAGACTCCTTCTGCCAGGCGCAAACGTGGCCCTTAGAAGAACAGATTTGCGGGACCCGACCACAGCCCTGATCGAGCAGGGATCCTATCCCGGGGCAACCGTGCCCGGTACTGAACGCCCCCCAAATTCACTCCTGAGCAAACCCACCTTCCGCTTCACATCCGAGGCGACGCTGAAAAGCAGAGACCAGTAGAACGACAGCTCGATGACATAGTACCAGTACTGGGAAGGGAGGAGGGTCTGGAAGAAGAGGCAGAGTTAGGCCGTCCCACCGGGGTCGGTTGCAGAACAATAACTCGGCTTCTAGGACCTCGCGGGAATCTCCCTCACAATGCAGAATCCCCTGGATGTCTACTGACGAGCGAGGCTAGGCCCGCTCGGTTTCCCCACTCGGATAATTCATTCAGACCCCAGGAATGGCCATCGAGACCTGCCTCATCCTTTTGTTAAACCAGTTCAAACTGGTATTCTGGGCACAGTAACCTAAATCACCCCATGGCTGACACCTCTCACATTTCCCCGTTCTTTCGATCACGGTTAATCGTGCCTATATTTGATGCTCTTTCGACCTTCCATTCCCCTAAAATTCAAACTTGCCAACAAGACGCAAAGTTACCAGCCGGAACTGAATCCCGTCAGAGCAGAGACAACGAACCACTTCTCCACACAACTAAAGGTGCGTAAAAGCCACTTTTCAGCCCCCAAACCATTGTAGCAGGTTTCCGGGATCCTAACTAGGGTTGCCAAGTGAGAATTGTGCCGCAGCGGGGGACTCCCGGCTTGCGGCTGGAGCGAGCGCACACGCGCCGCATCCACGTCACCCGGAAGTGACGCGGGCACGCCGGGGGCGGGGCCACAACCATCCGAGGGAAAACCATAGAGCGTGCCCGGCGTGCCCCCAGCGTGGTCGCGTCACTTCCGGGTGACGTGCACGTTAGGGTGGAGCTCCCCCCGGGGCCCGATCCACCGGCGGCGGGGAACGAGCCTCTGGGGCGTGGATTTCCCCACCCCCCAGGGGGACTTGGCAAGCCTAACTCTAACCGTTACCCCAACCTCACGGTCGGTCTCCTTCCTTGCTGAAATCACGGAGTCTGACTGACCACAAACTGAACTACAACAGGGGCTTCCAATGTACTGGATCCCTCCTTTCCTCATCTGATTTCTACGCAGACTAGGACAGGTACGTCTTTGCTCCTCATCTTGATTTATCTCCCTTAACTTTCTAACCCACACTGCACTACACAGAGCGGGCACTTTGCTCCTCTCTGCTATTTAAAGGCCTCGCCTCCAGAAGAGCAGACACCTCGGCCCTGACGGAGTCCACCTAGGGTGGGGGTTTTCCCACCGAAAGGGCCTCCAACCTGCTGGTCCGGATCCAACCGGCGGGGGGAACCCGACCCCCAAAGTGGCCAAATCGGGCCGACGTGCCCAGCACGATGACATCACCCGGAAGTGACGTCGTCACGCTGGGCGACACTCTAGCAACCAGCCTGAGAACTCTATGGTACCATAGAGTTTTTAGGCCGATTGCTAGAGCGTCGCCTAGCGATGTACCCCGTGTGATGACGTCACTTCCAGGCGACGTCATCATGTGTGCCAAAGAACTCCCAGACAGGCCGCAGGACTCCCCCTGTTATTACGTAGGTAGGACTTTGCGACCCTAATTCCACCTTCTCCTCTGTCCTATTCCCCATTTCCCCCACATTTACACCTTTCGCTTAAGAGGAACTCCTGCTCCAAATTGGAGTAGCTCCGCTGGATGTTGGGTTGTTGTTTAGTACCACTCATATTCGCTGAGGATAAATCCCTACACCGCATCTGTACACATTTATCTGCTATTTTGGCATAGTTATTGCCTTACAACTGTTGACCTTATAACCTTCTCTGGTTATTTAGGTTCTCTTTGTACATCTTCATCAAGTTCCATGTGAATTTGCTGTTCAGCCCGTCTCTAAGTCTGAACCTGACTAACCATTCCAATGTATTTGAAAAAGCATGCATGCACACGACAGCTCAACTTTGTTGGTCTTAAAGGTGCCACCGGATTTATTCTACTACTGAAAGCTTGCTACTCTCAGCCACCTCTTTAGGTTAAAAAGTCCTGATTTTCCACTTTACCACAAGTAAAGGTAAAGGTTCCCTTGCTCGAAAGCCAGTTGAATCCGACTCTAGGGTTGCGGTGCTCATCTCCGTTTCAAAGCCGAAGAGCCAGCGCTGTCGGAAGACATTTCCGTGGTCAGGTGGCCACGTACGCTAATTCCCCACTGCAGTCTGAACACATGTTCACGGCTTTGTGAAGGTGTGGTAACCCCAGCAGGGGTCTATCAGAAGGCAGTCAGGCCCGGGCAGTGACTCAAACAGAGTTGCACCAAGTAGCCTCTGTTGTTGGAGTGCAGACTTCGGATTCAGTCTAGTCTGTAGTTCAGCATATTGATAGCGGGACACTTTGGGGATGTCTGCCCTGGCGTTGGCGTTTTGAGACACTCGAGTGACTTACCTGAATGGGATAACCATCCCAAACTCTCTCCAAGTCATAAAACCAGGGTTTCTGTAAGAGCAGAATGGCAAAGACAAAAAACCACGAGCGAGTTAGGAAGATGTTGCAGACGATAATCCAGGGGATTTCCAGAAAGGGGACTTACGGGGGTGGGTGGAACCGAGAGAAAAAATACTTACATCTGCAATAACAGACATGCCAGCAATGAAAGCAAGAAGGTAAAATGTGAATCTCCAACTGAAAAAGGAAGAAGAGGGGATTTTTTTCCCTGAACAGATGAAAACATGGGGGGGGGGGGAGCCCTAAATACAACTCTAGTGCAGGGTGTTGGACTAGATGACCTGCAAGGTGCCTTCCAACTCTAACATTCTATGATTCTATGAACCTGAACAGACTGCTTGAGAACCTCACTGGAGCTTCACTCCCAAGCCCTGCACTTTCCAATGATAAAATACTTAAAACACACACACACCTCCAAGTAGAAACCTAGCCTGTCAAGGCCAGAACCTCTCCCCCTGATAAGCTAGCTTTCAACATGCGGGGACAGGGGGGGTTGTCTTCTTGTGGTAGGGAGGAGCATCCTTCGGTTTCGTTGACCCTCCACCTGCACTCTAAAGTGGTGCAGACAAAACGAAAGTTGACCCCCCCTTTTTTTGTGAGAAGTAGGCCTCAAGTTAGCGATCACAACCCGGGCTGCCTCCCTAGAGAGGGACGCGGTGACCCCCCCAAGTAAACCCAGCGGAAGGAGATGCCTGGACTTGGCCCAGAATCAGCCAGAACCTCCAGCCTCCATCCAAAGCTGCTGTTGCAGTTTGTTGGGGTAAAGGTAAAGGTTCCCTTGCTCGAAAGCCAGTCGATTCCGGGTACCCGAATGGGGTAGGGGGGGAATAAAGGAGTGAGTTATAAAGGGCGGGGGGGACCACCTCTCATCAGCCCCTTTTTTTGGGGGGGACTCGGGGGGCACAGCTAATTAAATAAAAATAAATTACATTAATTCGACTGGGGGCCAGCCCGGGAGGGAGGGAGAGGGCCCGGAAGAAACGCTAGGGGGCCAGGCCGCGTTAGCTACAGGCTTCTCACTAACCACTTCTTTTTCCTCTGTCAGATCCCATTTTTCTCTGCCCTCCCCTCCAAGGACTGGGCGGCATTCACGGCCCTCCCGCTTCCTCCACACAACAACCCCGTAAGGTCAGTTTGGCCAAGTGTGAACGTCTGGCTCAAGGACCACCCAGCAAACTTTGTGGGGATCTGAACCCAGACCACCACTTTACACCACTTTACACCCCTCAGGCTCTCATTTACCTGGCCTCTCGGAACTTCTTGAGCGTGCTGGGCCGGTCCTGGTTGCGCCGGCGGCGGAACCACCGCTCCACCTGCCGCGCAGTGTAGCTGCATTTCTTGGAAAGGGCCTCAATATCCACCTGGCGAGAGACGAGGAGGAGGAGGAGGAGGAGGAGGAGGAGGAGGAGGAGATTGGATTTATACCCCGCCCTTCACTACCCAAAGGAGTCTCCGAGCGTCTTACAATCTCCTTTCCCTTCCCCTCCCCACAACAGACACCCTGTGAGGTAGGCAGGGCTGAGAGAGCTCTGAAAGAATCTGCTCTTTTTCGAGAACTGCTCTGACAGAACTATGGCTTGCCCAAGGTCATCCAGCAGGTGCAAGTGGAGGAGTGGGGGAATCAAACCCGGTTCTCCCAGATTAGAGTACGCGCACTTCACCACGACACCAAACAGGTTGGAGAATGAAGCACCGGGAAGTTGGTGATCTGCCTCAGAGGCCAAAGAGACAAATCGTGTCCTAAGAGACACCTGGAGCAAATAGCTGCGTTACCTGTTTGGGGTGCTTGGAAGAAGAGGAGTAGAAGGTCTCTAACACGGGATTCGGCGTGGCTTTTAGTTGTACTTTGTCCTTGACGTTGAGGAGACCGGCTAGTGGGGTGGCCACGTACCTGGAGGGCGAGGAGGAAACCCAGTTAACCCCAAAACAGAAGCATGCAACGGTACAGCCGTGGAATTATAGAAACACAGAGTCCAACACAGAGCATCACATAACATCCAAATCGCAAGATGTGATAGTCCCACTGTGCACGGCATCGGTCAGGCCGCACCTGGAGTCCTGTGTGCAGTTCTGGAGGCCTCACTTCAAAAAGGATGTGGACAGAACGGAGCGGGTGCAGAGGAGAGTGACGAGGATGATCAGGGGCCTGGAGAAGCCCTGTGAGGAAAGGCTGAGGGGAACAATGTTCCCTCTAAGCTGTGGAGTCTTGTGAGCAAACATTCTACTTGGTGAGCTACTGGCATTAAAGTTGTGAGCGAGAGATTTGGCTGCTGCATAAACCAGTGTGCTCTTCTGGAGCCCTCCTTCCTGAGCTAAGGCAAAAATGTGCGAGCCGGAGGCTAGAAAACTGTGAGCTAGCTCACACTAACTCAGCTTAGAGGGAACACTGCTTGGGAAGGTTCTGTCTGGAGAAGAGGAGGCTGAGGGGGGACAGGATGGCTCTCTTGAAGTATCAGAAGGGCCGGCACTTCGAGGAGGGCAGGGAGCCGTTCCTGTTGGCAGCAGAGGAGAGGACTCGCAAGAACGGGTTTAAATTAAGGGCGGGAAGGTACCGGCTGGATCTCAGGAAAAGCTTTTTGACAGAGTTGTGCCAAGTAACCAACAAATACACACAGCAAGAACCTTTTGTAAATTAACGTGTACTGATTATAAGTATTATCCTATAAAGTGCATTGTGTACCATAATAACATCCCTGTCAGATAAATATAGGAGCTGCGGTGGCTCAAGTGGTTAAGACGCTGAACTGCAGGCTGTGGAAGGTCAGTAGTTCAGCAGTTTGAGACCCGGGTGCCACAAGACGGGGTGAGCTCCTGTCTCGAGTTACAGCTCCTGCCAACCTAGCAGTGCGAAAGCAAGAAATTGCAAGTAGATAAATAGGTACCACTTCGGTGGGAAGGTAATGGAGGTCCGTGCGCCTTGGTGTTTAGTTATGCCGGCCACATGACCACGGAAATGTCTTCAGACAGCACTGGCTCTTCGGCTTGGAAACGGAGATGAGCACTGCAACCCTAGAGTCGGATTCGACTGGCTTTCGAGCAAGGGAACCTTTACCTTTACTTTACCAGATAAATATATTCAATACATTCAGTACAGCAATAACACTCATTCGTTCTGCTTCAAAACTACCAGTCAATGGAGCATCAGTCAGGACGGACAAAAGGACATACTACATTACACAGAGAGGGATTACAACGTGGAATTCCCTGCCAGGGGATGTAGTGATGGCCACAGGAATTAAGTGGCTCCAAAAGGGGATTAGATAGATGCATGGAGAAGAGGTCGATCAATTGTTACTAGCCATGGGGGCTGGGGGGGAACCTCCACATTCAGAGGCAGTCAATCTCTGAATCCCAGAGCCAGGAGGCAACACCGGGGGAAGGCCTCGGCCTCTCTGCCCTGCTGTTGGCCCTCCAGAGGAACTGGTCGACCACTGGGTGAGACAGGAGGCTGGACTGGATGGACCCTCACTGGTCTGACCAGCAGGGCTTTTCTGATGTTCTCCTCAGGGGAAGGCCTCGGCCTCTCTGCCCTGCTGTTGGCCCTCCAGAGGAACTGGTCGACCACTGGGTGAGACAGGAGGCTGGACTGGATGGACCCTCCCTGGTCTGACCCAGCAGGGCTCTTCTGAGGTCCTTATCAGGGGAAGGCCTTGGCCTCTCTGCCCTGTTGTTGGCCCTCCAGAGGAACTGGTTGAGGCCACTGCTGTGAGACAGGAGGCTGGACTAGATGGACCCTCACTGGTCTGACCCAGCAGGGCTCTTCTGGTGTTCTTCTCAGGGGAAGGCCTCGGCCTCTCTGCCCTGTTGTTGGCCCTCCAGAGGAACTGGTTGAGGCCACTGCTGTGAGACAGGAGGCTGGACTAGATGGACCCTCACTGGTCTGATCCAGAAGGGCTCTCATGACGTTCTTATGAAGGCCTCGGCCTCTCTGCCCTGTTGCTGGACCTCCAGAAGGACTGGTTGGCCACTGTGTGAGACAGGAGGCTGGACTAGATGGACCCTCACTGGTCTGACCCAGCAGGGCTCTTCTGGTGTTCTTCTCAGGGGAAGGCCTCGGCCTCTCTGCCCTGTT